TGGTAGGAAGCATTATCCATGACGATCACAGAGTTGGGCTCAACTCGCTGAAGCACCCCTTGAAACCAGCTCTCGAAGCAGCTGGCATTCATTTCGTCATGGTAATCAGCTCCTTTCCTAGAGACGAAAATCAAGTCACACTCTTCTAAAAAGCCACTATCGCTACCAATATGAGTTACGATCAATCTTTGACCTTTCCCTGACGGTCCACGAAGACCTGTTGACAAACCTTCAATGCTTGCTTGTCGGTTACTCACTACGTTTTTGTCTATCCAGGTTTTTTTAACTGTGTGACCTGCATTTACCCATGTCTCGTCCAAATAATAGATTTTTCTGCTTTGTCGCCTATATTCAATCATTTCGCGTAGGTATTTACGACGCCAGGCGACTATTTTAGGTCTCTCTATCAATACTGACTTCCGATTATGCGTTTCGTAACGAAAATTAATTTCGTGCAGGGATTTCCTCATTACCTCGACGCTCATTTGGGGTATAATTTCATTTTCCTTGATCGCTGCTTGTACAGCCTTGAGGGTTGGTATCTCATTCCTAAAGAAGAATGAATGTATGGTTCGCCTTAACGCCATTTTGCTATCGTCATCCAAATTAATGGCCTTTCGTCCCTTCAAATTAAACTTTGGATCAGTAGTAGCTCCAGTTTTCTTCTTTTCATGCACCACCCTGCGAATGGTCCACTCTGGAACGCCTGTCATACTTTCACAACGCGCGAGTGCATCTCCCTGCGACATAGTTCTGTTCAGATAATTGAACACGTTGAGCACGATTTCTTTCGCGTCCCTCTTCAGTGCTTTACGAAGCCGTCTACTTGTTCCCTGGCTTTCAGTACTTCCACTCGTGCCATTGGTACTCTCCATGGTTAAGTATAACCAAAACAGTAACAACAGAAACCACAACAATAACAATCACACAACAATTCTTATAAAAACACACAATATGCGATCGCTCAATGAAACACGTTCCAATGCGTTGCCCACGCCTATGAGTCTGCCGGTCGAGGCGCGTCTTTGATTTCATTGGTTCTACCGGCGGAGAACAATCAGCCATTATTTCCATCTCTGTCTGTGTTGTTGACCACCGCAAAGCCACAGAAACGACATATGTCGTACGCTATACGGCTGTACTAGAAGGAAGCCGGGATCGAGCTCTGATCACGTGTTGATCACGCGTATGAGTCATTACAGTTTTAAATAGTTGTAGTATAGTGGCATTATTTTTCCAAATAAGAATAGTACGTCACTGTTTTTTTTCGAAACGCGCAATTTTTCGAATTTTACCTTCAATTTGCTACAAATAATGACTCTTGTGTTTCTTCCTAGAGTGCACTGCTTCCGTAGAAATAAAAATGAAACAAATTAGATTATTCATGACGAGCCGAGATACAATTAGTTTCAAAACTAAATAGGAGGCCTTGATACCAACTTCACGTTTCTTTTGAGAGTTTGCCAAAGTTATGTGTTATATCACTACTACTACCATTTTTTACTTTGTAAAAGTCAAGTCAAAAGTTTCTTTTTTCATTTTTAAGTGTTGTGAAATGGAATTTAGCAATGATGAGTACGCCGATATTATTTTTGTGTACGGGTTCTGTAATGGAAATGCTTTAGCGGCTTCTCGGGAGTATCAACGTAGATTTCCTAACAGACTCTAACCTACCCCAAAGGTTTTCACACGTTCATTTCTAAGACTTCGGCAATATGGAATTGCCAAACTTCCCGGAGTTAGGGCCATGGTGTCCGGCATACTGTTCCAGAGGAACTGGAAGTGATTAATTTTTCGTTGGATGATCCTAGTACAGGTACTAGGCGGATTGCAGACAATATAAGTGAATCTCATGAGCTTCTGCTTTCTCAGCAATGCTAATATCCAAATGGCATTTGGCCCCATCAAAATTAAAATTACTGGCGGAGGCGACATGTATTCAATGAAATGGTCTAACCACTTATCAAACGTTTCTATCGTCATGCTCCCTTTAGGCGTCATCATAACTTTTGAGCCAGCCGGTAAGCCATCTGAGTAGGTTGGCTTCATTCTCTTGCCCTTAAAAAGAATGACAGGCGGTATGGCATGTCCGAGAGCATTAGCGCAAGCAACGTAGATTTCCTAACAGACGTTAACCTACCCCAAAGGTTTTTACACGTTCATTTCTAAGACTTCGGCAATATGGAATTGCCAAACTTCCCGGAGTTAGAGGCCATGGTGTCCGGCATACTATTCCAGAGGAACTGGAAGTGATTAATTTTTCGTTGGATGATCCTAGTACAAGTACCAGGCGGATTGCAGCCAAGTTACCATGTGCCCAAAGTCTTGCGTGGAGAATTTTAAATCAGAAAGTGTTACATCCTTATCATCGGCAAAATATGCAATGTCTGCAACCAGAAAGTGCAACGGCGAAAGTTTTGTGAGTGGTTCCTGCAAATGCATAATCAAAACGCAGATTTCATTGAGTTGGTTTTGTCATCAGATGAATCACTTTTTACGAGGAGTGGAACCTTTAATTCTCATAATGAACATATTTGGTCGTTAGAAAATCCCCGTTCTGTAAGAATCCACTCATTTCAACATAGATTTTCTAGAAATGTCTGGTGCTCGACGTCTAAATGCAAACTCATACTTACCTTTTCTAGAGAATTACATAGAAAATGTGTTAGATGATGTTCGGTTAGCAACGAAAGTACGAATGTGGTATCATCTTGTAAGTAAATGTTATTATGCCGTCTCCGAGTTTGCCGAGTTTGCTATTTTATGATTTATTTGTGTTGTTTTTTTAGTTTTTATTCTGACTAATTCTATACATATGCAATGTCTCTTAGGATAATAAAAAATTGAATTTGAATCAGCACGACGGCGCCCCAACGCATGTTCGTCGTGACATAATCGCCTGGTTAAATAATCATTCTAGACAACGATAGATTGTCAGAAACGAACCCGTACATTGGCCTGAGAGGTCAACTGTTTTGGACCCCTGGATTTCTTTTTGTGTAGCGCTTTTAAACAACTAGTGTATGCTGAAAAAATTAATACTGTTGATCAGTTACAAGAAAGAATAGATAATGCGTGTCATCAAATTCAAGCCACAACAAATTTTGCGGAAATACGTTTTTCTTTATGAAAATCATACCGCACTTGTAACATTTATTGAAATAAGGCTTTATGTAATTTGTTTATTTTTTATTTTTACGAAAACTGTAGGAAAGAACAAGAGTGGGCATTTCGAAAAACAAGTAGCGTATTATTTTTATTTGGGAAAATAATGTCACTAAACCCCTGTATTTCCGCTACTGGTGCACGTTAATTTTAAGTGAAGACTTTTGAATGTGGACATTTTAAACAATACCCCGTATCTTCTTAATGAAGCCCTCGAGGAAAAAATGTGGTCCTGTGTATGATGTTTCATTTTTGGTCACGACTTGTAAGTCACCCAGGCTGTATCGGGATGACAAACACATTATTGGCTTGGAGAAGTGAGTGTCTGCAATATATAGCAACATATATCATCGGTAAACGATCCTGTGGGATCCTATCAGTTCTGTAGGTCCATTGCACGTCATTCGATTGGTCACAGGAGGAATAAACTGAGACCGGTGATTAATAAATAATAAACGGATTGACCGGCTGGTCAAAGGTGCACGCCACGGCCACACCGTGCACTGATAGTTATTTTCTTCAATTTATGCAGGGCGGATATGTTCTAATAGTGCAGTGATTTCAGTACTTCTTTATGTACTTTCCGTACGTTCCGCAGCACTGCCGTACCGTTGCCGTAACACAAGTTGATTCATGCGCTAGACGTTAAACTGTTTACAGGAATTCCGCAATATTCGACCGCATACTGACGCTTGACTTGAAGTTTTAACTTTCTGCCGCTGCCGATTCTGCCAATGACAGGTAACCTGCAAATCACGTGTTTATTACCTTAGATCAGCATGTTTTACGCTCTGTCATTACCATGTTTTGTTTTGCTTTTATAATATAAGCGTGGCTTCCTTTGTTATTATTTGCTATATTTTATTGTTTATTTGAATAGCAATATCAATTATCAACAGATTCGTGTCAGGTAGCTTGGAGTAGTGAATCCGAATATGACCTTAAAAAAGTGATGAGTCGTAGAGCTGAATTTGAGGGCTAAAATGGATTGTTTGGGACCTTTGGAGGCTCACAGAGTCATACATTTTTCCTTAAAACCTGGAAGGGTGTTACTTATATTTTGAATACACGCGACCAACGCAACACTTTTTACGTTGATATATTTGCGTCTAATCGTTGTCTGGATCGTGTCTTGACCACCGACGATATTTAGTTAAATTTAATAATGCCCAACTTTGACGACTCTCGACGCTAGCATTTTTGAAGATATTTAGATAAAGTTTAGTTCACAAAAATTTAATCAACATCGATTTTGAGCGGATCTGAAAGAAATACTAAAATATCATTCTATTTATACAGAGTATCTCAAAATGCAAAATGTACCTTTCTCGTCAATTCCAAATGGTACATTTTGCGATTTAAGATACCCTGAATAAAAATAAAGAAATTTAAGCACTTTTTCTATATCAGCTTAAAATCGATTATGATAAAATTTTTGTAAATTAAGATTTATCTAAATATCTTCAAAAATGGCGGAGCTGGGCATTTTTTTCAGATGTTTGACCAGATATCTAAACAATCGACAATCGAAACCATATGTTATATATCAAACTTCATGTTTTTAGAAGCTCTATTCAAATATGTAATCAAATATAGGATGTTCTCTTTAAAAAAATATGTTTGCTTTGGCAGGAAGTTATGGAAATTATTATTAAAATAATTTTTAAATATGCACTAGTATCATATCAAGGTTGCCACGAAAATAGATTTTTGATAAATTGTCCAGTTTGCTTATAAAACTACTTTCCATTTTCATTGAGACACCTTGTATATTCCCTTTCAAGTGTGAAAAAGGTACGTCAGGTGTAAGCCTTTGGTATTTATTAAAACAACCATAAACATATAAAGTACCTTTATCAAAAATTATAACAATTTTAAATCCATGGTATGAGCAAAAATAAAACAAGCTTGGTTAAAAAAATGTAGATCTCATATTTTAATCTTAAACAGAATATAGAGTTATGGACATATTGATACATTACTTTTACCAGATATTTTAGCCCGACTACAATTCAGTGTAATCCAAACAACAAGAAATTAATTAAACCTTCTATACAAAAGCCTGGGATTTCATATTTTATATAGTAATACTAAAGATCACTATACACCTCAAGGAATGTCCTGTTCTGTAGTTGAGTGATTATTCCCAAAAATTAAGTGTACCTTCTCACACAAATGATGCGTCGAAATTTTGCGAAATAAAATATTGTTCTGGGCTGGTATGTTGCTATTTCACTTTTACAAAATAACCCAAGGTGGTGTAATTCTAATAGCCCTTTATTTTTAGCAGGTACTTCATTGAAGTGTTTCGTCCTTTGTAAAGCTGTTATATTAATGTAATTGTTTTCAAAAATATATTATTCTACAAGAACAGATATACTTCTTCATTTAATCAAAGATACATAATTTCACAAAAAAAAGATCTACTATGTATCATGTTGGAGAATGTTTAACGTAAGACATGTTCTACTAACATGAAATAGTGAAAAGTAAAATTGCAATCATCACTTGGCTAAGTCTTTGTAGAGAAAAAAAAACTAATCTGAATTGAGTAAATTCTGAATATTTTGACTATATGGATACTGTGGGTGCCACCAATCTAAAACTTTGTAATTAACAACTGGGTCTAAAATGATAGATGTACAATTGCTGTCTGATGGTCGGTATGCTGATATGCCCGATCCAAAATCTAACTGCAATCTGTTGTACCTCATTCCATTTGACAGAGTGACTGACACTGATATGAGTACTTGTCCTGCAAAAAAAAACAATTTTTGTAACCAATACTGATATCTTACTACTTTCAATAATAAACAAGGGTGATTCCAAATGCAGTATCAATCAACTAAAAAAATTGTAATAATGCACTGAAGCAGTTAGTAACAAAAAATTAAATGGACAAAATAAAAGTTGATGCTCTCATGGTACACTTTTTTATTTCCTTAGAAAATAACTCAACACCTACCTAAGACAGGTGGAATGGCAATGAAATCTTTACAGGTGACCTGCAAAATGCAACAATTCTCATCTACATTAGCAGACACATCATCCAGTATTTCCAACAAGTCTGGCTTTTTTGTATTAATTCGATAGGAATGATTCAGTAAATTGTCTCTTTTCTCTCTCATCTTAAAATAAAATAACCAGTGTCCTTTGTGTTTTTGGTGCCACAGGCATTCACATAGTCTTCGCTTTAGTATGTCAGGGTGTTGTTCAGCTGTGAGCTGTGGTGATTTTATTTGATTTACAAATAGGGGATACATATGATACAGTGCCCTTAAAATAGAAAAAGAGATTTAGAATATATATATTTCTTTGATGATACTAAATTACAATACTAACCTAATAACAGAGGGTCGTAGGCCATATTTTCGTACAAGGCATTCAGGTTGCAGCTGCTCAGGTAATGTGGAAACTGAAGTGTAGTACCTTTTGTACAGTCTAAACCAAAATTTTGCTGTACACACAACCTCAAAAGATGTTTTACATATACCAGCAAAACGGCCTACGTCCTCAGGTCTAATGTATTCAGAAAGGAGGAACCAGATGTCTATTGGGTAGTCTTTACCACTCACTTCTTTTACTTCCTATAAAATATGACTTTGAATATTTTATGTAGATTTAAAGTATATTTTTTTAATAAAAAATATCTAAATCCAAATTTAAAGAGTATATTGTGTTTACTTTTTTCTATGAACAATAAGTAGTAAATAAGCTTGTGTTCTACTATTCAAATATGATAATTCACACCAATGATGTGATTTAAGTTCAAATCTTTTCCCAAGCCTTGTCCTTAGAATGTATTACAGTTATGCTATGGAGATTATCTGTCTGTTTGTCTTATACCTGAGGAGAATAATCTTTCTTTAATACTAATTGCTTGACATGAAATACAAACTTATTTTATTGGTAACCAGAAAGAATGAAGATTAAATCCTATTGAATGATTCTTTTGGCAAGGAATACAAAAGATATACCAGTTCTCTTTCAATGCACAAATTTCAAATACTTTTTTCTTTTACAATATTCTGTACCTCACTATTAGAAACAGTTTTCTTCCTTCTCCTTGGCTCTACTTTTCTCAGTACATATGTAATATTGCCTTCCTCATCTTCTTCTTCAATGAATTGTCCATCAAATTCATCAGGTTTCTCATCCCATGACTTTTCCTGAAAATGCTTCAATACTTTTGTTACACTTTCGCTGGACTTCTTTGGTCTGTTTTTGGAAACAGCAGAGTTTGCAAAATCGTTCAACGTTATGTCTACAAAAAAAAGGATCTATAGGATCCTGTTATTACTAACAGAATCAAATAAGCATTATTGCCTTGCCTAGGGGCAATTGATAGCAGTTATCCTTATTACATAATTTTTACTAGATGACTAGATACGCTTTTCTTATATTAAATCTATCTTTGTCTGTATTATTATCAAATATTTATAGTAATTAATATTGCCGGCTTTTAATAGAAACAAAGGTGCATGGAGATACAATACCTCCGAAAGTTTTTAGAGACCGATGTTTTACCGATTTTTTGTTTGGCATGTTTTAACTATGTCTAGAAGGATTGTCAAAATAGGAAAAATTTGCATTTTAGAGTACAAAAAAGTAAATCACACATCGAAATGTAAAAAGTGAGGCCACCACTTTCAAGAGCCATGATGGACTGTTGTTTTGACAGACTTCAGCTGATCACATGATAGTAAACGTCATTTACTACCTGCCTGCTACCATCTAGTAGCGAGTAGTCTTTTCAGTTACGGACAATGGTGTTCACCTAAAGGAATGAGTGAAAAGGCACGTGGTGGACCACTTCTGGTGATCAGTTTTATTCTTTGTTCATTGGGCAATCCGTTTCATGGGTGTCGCGTCAGTACTTTACTGTTTGTACTTAAAGGCAGTGTATTTGACTGATAGCGGTGCCTCATCTAGTGCGATAATTACTTACTACAAATGTCTTGTTCTGTCAGTTATATCATCGAGATAATCAAATTCAAGCGGATAACCAAATGGAAATGGTATTTACCATTTTGGATTGGTATTTACCGATCCGTTCAAGCGAGTGTAGTTATCAGTTTGGTTATAAGATCCGTGACGCCACGAATCAGCTGTTATACGTCATAGTCTCATAGTTATCACCGCAAAATCGTGGTATTTACCCAACTCTACAACTCGAGAGTAGTTTTATATTTCTGGTTATTATTTGAAATGTGACAAGTTAGAATTTTGCCGGGTATTGGATATTGTTATTGTACTTCAGCTTCATTTTTGAGAAAATTGATACAGGCTGACTTCAGTTTTACCATAAAGTGGAGCACCTTATTAGTTATACTCATTACGGTTGTTGGGGATACTTTAAATGTTGTTCCTATGCATAACAAAGTATCCTGTGTAGCCATCTACCAAAAGAATATTAAAATATGGCCATATAAACTCACTAGAAGATATCCACCTATATACGGTTTTTTTTTTCATCATTTCTGCTGAATCAATAAATGTTTTGTTTGACATGCGGAAAAATTTAGAGAATTGAAAGTTATCATAGCTACAAAGCCATGGTTCCATCATTAAAAAAAAATCTAAAAAAACATTTCTCCCATGAATATTATGAAAGGTTTCTTATTTAAACTTTCCATACACAGACGAAAAAGCACCGATTATTAAGTGATAATAAAAATAATCGGAGATTATATACGCGCTTTTCTTTAATAAACAACTTGCAACAAAACCGCGGTTAAAACCAACGCGTTCAAGCGATTCGTGTAACTGACGTCATCAACCCGTGTGTCATCTTGAACCATATTATAACCGCGGCACATAACAGAAATTTTGGTTATTCGCTTGGATTTGATTGATGTGACATCTGTTTGTGGTTCTGTCACTTGTCTTTTCTGATCTTTCAAAACAGTCCTTACGTTTTCCCTAAAATTTAAAATATTTAAATGTATAATTTGATATAAAATACAATTCTGGTAATTACAAATAAATATAGAAGAATGGCTCTTGGTTTAAGAAGCATAAATAAGTTTACAACATTAAGCACACTAGCCGCACCAAGAAGCATCAACGTTAATAATACAATCCATAGGCAAATATCTCTGACACCATGTGAACAGGTAAGTATTTACAATACTAATTTATTATTATTTTCCTCATACATACATACCGGTTATATATTAATAGCAGGTATAATTTATCACAGTATAAACGTTAAAATTGAAAAGATGTTAACCACCCTAACCTCACATTTTGCGAGTAATATTTCATCATATTACCTAATTGACATAATTTACATTATACTGAACCTGTTAGGATCACGCATATTGCATAAGATTATCTTGCACTTGATAATAAACTCAACTTTGAAAATTATACCTAAAATCTGATATTGCTTCAAACTTAGGTGATATTTTTCCATGAGGATTGTAGTTGTATCTGTGAAATTCAAGCTGGTATTTAGAAAGTAATAAAAAACAATACATGATCAGACAAAGTAAAAATTAAAATGTTGATAACAGACTGTGACTGTGTGTTGAATAGAATTATTTTTTCAGTATTCTACTAGACTTAATACTAAGCTGTGTTATTATGATAAGAGGAATGATATTCAAACGGGTGTGATAGACAATAGGGAATCGGTGCATGATACTGTTACTAAAGAGAATCTATCTACTATTGATCATCTACATATAGAAGGGATTGATACTTCTCTCAAAAGGTAGATCATTCAGATTGCTTGCTTTTATATTTTTATTTTTATATTATGTTGAAAAAGACAACCTCAGAACTCATGGAAATCCATTTCTCATTGACATTACATAGTATGTTTTTTGGATTCATTGATTAAAAGAATGCCTCAAAAACCTTGACTCATTTCTTCATGATTACCAAAAATTGCTATTTAAGGTATATGCTCCCTTGTGAATTAAAAATATTAATTACTTCCAATCAACTAGGATACATGTTATTATTTCTTGTTTTATATGTCTCAAACACATCATCCTTTGGAAGTGAGCAAAAGAGGGAGATTTGATTTTGAGTATTATAATTCCCAGTCAGGCACAAAAAGTAAATGCCCTGATTTGTTGTTTGAGAGTAACCACTTTTAAAATGTATTTTTAAGCATTCTCTTATTATAGGTAAATACTTGTTCAGGCCACTGATTACAAACATGGCATCTGTAAAATCCATTGATACAATTGAACAAATTACATGATGTTTTTGTCTTGGTAATACTGCATCCAGTTATGCATTTTATTGGCCCTGAAATATCAACTGAAGGCTCTTTGAGTTGAAATGACATTGACTTTGCGACAGGATAAGGATTTCTATAACATTACCATCAGATCAGTTTATAAGCAGATATATGATCAAATGTTTAGTCTTTTATGGTCTTCCTATTGTGACCATGAAGTAACCTTGAAATAACTGTGCAATAGCCCTTAGACAACTTTGTAGGAAAATAAGATAATTGGATTCAGAATCTCTTAAAACATTTGTGCAGTTTTTCCTGATCATCTTTGTAACATTTCCTTTTCTGTTCGCTAGAAATGCAAGTTTGCTTTATTGGGTTTAATTAATACTTTATTTCTATAAGCTCTGAGCATTTTTTTTTGTTATATATAATTACAAACATCACTGGCTACAAAGAGTACAATTTTAATTATGACGATATTTCCCATCTAACTTTTTTAGATTTTCAAAGCCCGTTCCTGAAGCGAACGATAATGAGCGATTGTTCGCAGAACAAGACGACAATTCAAACCCAAACAAACCTAGTCCAGACAAACTACTCCACGTTTATAATGTCCTAGGTGATAACTTACCAAAGCTGTTTATCCAACCATTGGACTACACAATATACCATGCAGACATAATATTTGAGGATAATATAAGGAATATACGTACTGTGTTAGTATCCAATATGTGCTGAGTTTTGCAGACAATGTTCCTAAAGGTTGTTCCAATTAGGTACTCCAGGATTTAAATTTACGGTATTTTTCAATGACAGATATTTTATATTGTGCATGTATCATCTAGAGACCAGGATATCTTATGAAATATTGTTTTAACATATCAGAATTATGCAAACGTTCTTAGTTCTTAGAAGGTTCACTCATTTTTTTTCATATAAATTACGATGGTGCAATAGATGTTAGTCCACATAGAATTTTCTCATCTGATCGGACATAGAACTTCTCTCTAAAGTTGCTAGTTTTCGAGATATAAGCGATTTAATATTTCAAAACTGACAGATCAAAAGGAAAATCCCCTTATCTGGTCACACCGAATCAAATTTCCATAATTACACACGCTGAAAACTATTTTATCAAGTTTCGCAAATAATCGAATTCTGATTTGTATTTCGTAAAACGCTGTGTACAAAGAGCTAAGCTACCGACTCTACCTGTTGCAAGCAAGTTCAATTCCACCTTTCATGAAATCCGTTTTCCCAATATGAATCACACCTTACTTCTGTCCTGATTGCATCGAATTTTAATGTACAATATCATAAATACAAAAAATAGTGCCATCTGGAAATTTTCCGACAAAACTCCCAATCAAAAGACGATGACGATAATGCAATTGGTATCCTATATAATAAAGCAGAGAAGAAGTTGGTTGGATAAAATTTATAAGGATACATTTCCAGGTATTGCGTTCTTCAATGAGACGTTTAATTTGAATGGGTACATATAGGCAGTCATATCGGCCGGTTCAATTATTGGCAAATTAGGACGATACCACCAATAAGCTTAACAAATATGTTCTCTGAAGAAGATCAGGCTGAATGACTTTTTTGTGGGGATTTCTCAAGAAAATTTTAGTCGATGAATAGTCAAATACATAAAAAACATAACTTTCATACTACTATGTTCTGATAATGCAAACAAGCATGATATTGTTGGTTTTATTTGAAAACAAAATCCCAAAGTACCTATTGGACAACTTTTATTCCAAAAATGTCAGTTTGCCTACATCATATTTTTCTCATTTGCTTTCAAAAATTATTCGCAAATTGGTCTGAATTATCAACCATAAATTTTCCTTTCAGAGGTATGTATAACTATGTGAAACAGGTAGCATTACTTAGGATAGTTGGGCATATAAAGTTCGCCTACGTCAAATTTGATATTTTGAAAATCACTTTTCATCCTGAGGATTCCACAGTTAAAGTTCGATGGTCTATAAAGGGGATATCGGCGTTAACCGTAATGACAAAATTCTGGAAATATAAACTGTGGAATTTCAAAGAAATCTTTGAAAAGACCGATAAGTAAGTTTAAAATTCTAATATTAATTGATACAAAAAAAATCGCTCAAAAGCTGTAACTCTTATAATATACAGGGTGGCCCATAAGTCGTTTGAGCTGGAAAAAAAGGAATAAAACCAAACTAGTTACATTATGAAGAATTATTATATTTTGTTATCATCTTTATTGAATGGGAATTATGTTTTAAAAATCACATCGTCTAAATGCAATCCATTACGATCACGGCACTCATATAAACGACGTCTAAAATTGTCGATGACTGCGCGGCAAGCCAACACTGTAATGCTTGCCATTTCTCTTCGGATATTTTCTTTCAGGACATCAACTGATCGCGGAGTGGTGTCGTACACTTTACTCTTGAGGTAGCCCCATAAAAAGAAGTCCATTGGGGTCAAATCTGGACTACGTGGTGGCCAGGAAATGTCTCCTCTTCGAGAAATTACTTTGCTGGGAAAAAGTTGACAGACGACGGGCATAGAAGTGTTGGAGGTGTGAGCAGTTGCTCCGTCCTGTTGAAACCAGGTCTGCGTATTATAGCCTGGAAAATTCTGCAACGCTGGTGTCAAAAACTCTTCTATCATTGCTACATACCGCTCCGAAGTAACAGTTAATACGCGACCTTTGTCGTCCTCAAAAAAATAAGGGCCTACGATGCCATGCGCTGGCATAGCAGCCCAAACTGTAACTTTAGGGCTGTGTAAGGGCTTCTGATGCTTCCGCCTTGGATTTTCGGGGCTCCAATAACGGCAATTTTGTTTATTTACATATCCGTCCGAGAACAACAGATTTTTGAGCGAAGAAAATCGATTCAACATTTCATTCGCAAAGTTTAGTCTCTGAATAGCGTCATTATCTTTTAATTCCTGCACTAACTGAATTTTGTAAGCGTGCAGACGTAAATCTTTCCTTAAAATCCGCTGTAAAGATGTTCTGGGTACGTTTAGTGCACTGGAACGCTTACGAGTAGACTGGGTAGGATTTTGACGAACAGACTGTGCCACAATGTTGATGTTTTCTTCAATACGAGTTGTCCTTGGTCGACCCCACCGCTGTTTATCTAACGTCGAACCAGCCTCTTCGAACTTAGCAACCCAGTTCTTAATCGTTTGAGCTGTTGGACACTTTGTAAAATTGTGTAAATTGTGGTATTCTCGATATTTACGCCGCGCAATGGTTGCCGAATCATTATTTTGATAAAACGCGCGCACACAAAAAGCACGATCCGCTCCAGTGAAACACTCCATGGCGACTGAATTCCCAGACACTGAAGATACTGCCCCCACCTCGCCCGCACCGCTCACGCTCACCCGTTAAATTTTATTCAAATTTGAAATTTCAAAGGACTTATGCACCACCCTGTATAAGACTGAAGTACAAAGGTTTAAACAGATAAAAAAACATTTGAAAAATACTGCATAAATAAGACAAAAGTCATGCCTTACTATTATATTAATAGTATTGTTTTTTTTTCAGTTGGTATGACGGTTTTTCCACATTCTATGTGAATGCTGAAGGAAAGATTGTAAAGCATGTAGCAGATAAGGTATGTAATGGCATTTATGCCGGTATTCTAACTGAAGATAGCCAACCTAATGCTATATTCCAGCGTCCAAAAAATTATCCGAGGTAAATGTGGCTCAAGAACCGATCGATCGAGCGCGATCGAAGACGTTATAAAGGTAGCAGTGCACAAAATTTGTCATTGCAACATACAATCACGTTTTTCGGCTTTAAATATGCGTAAATCAATGCGGTTTTTACGTAAACTGTTGTTTTATGTGTTTTTATGTATTGTGCGAGTATACCCATCCTCCCCAAAAGGAACTACAAAATTGGGGGGTAACGGGAAAAAATTGAAATGTTGCAAAAATAATAATATACATCTGCGGATTTGAACTTAATCGCATGAGACAGCTATACTTTATGTCTCTTGTAATCGAGGTTGCGCTACATGGCCTACAGCCCCCCCCCCCAAATACCCCCTACCTCAATTTTAATGTTAAACACATCGAAAACACGCTCATCATTTTCGAAAAGCGACTTAGGTCCAGGATTTTATTGCATGTATCTCGTAGAAATATGCTACTCTAGCAGCCCACAAAGCGGCTTTGCAGAGAGTGCCCCGGAACATTGTTTTTCAGCCCCTAGGGGATTTAACGCAGTGTATATACGAAAAAAATCATAATTTTTCAAAATCGTGTTGGGTTCAGGATTTTTTTCGATAAATCGTGATTATTTATCATATTCTAACCACCCACCAAGCGGTTTACCCCAATGAAGCCCGGAAGGCCCCTATCCGTACTTCGATCAGAATTCGATCAAACACCTGTCATTTGTGAAAATCGACTTTGGTCCAGGATTTTATTGCATGTATCTCGTAGAATTATGCTACTCTAGCAGCCCACAAAGCGAGTGTGCCCCGGAACATTGCTTTTGGTATAAAATTTTTGATTCGCATATGCTGGATTGATTCCTAGAAAAAAATTCGAACCTGTTTGTGAAGCTTACATCTAATTTTAACCACTAATTTATAGGTTACATATACCGGGTGTCAATGAAAATTGGAAACACGCTGAAAAGAAAAAAATATTTTAAACTGTCAAAGTGGCGTGATCAACAAATCTCTATTAAAACAGACTAAATAAATGAAAGCTTGTAATGATGTGTTTTTCATGTTAGAATACTTATTTAAAAAAAAACAGGAATTCACATCTTCATCACAAGATTTCTATTAGATTTTAATGGGAATTCTATGAATTGACTTTCATTTGTTTTATATAGCCTATTATTCTTTTTTAATAAATGCTATTTGAAAACATCCTAAATTTTCGTAGCCTCCTTACCTTCTTGCGGCGATTGGTAGCTTCTAAGTTACTAATCCGATAGTAGCTTGAAGAACATCATTGAGAATGGGTTTTCATTTAGAGACAATAATAAAAAAAACTACTTTTTGTTTTGTAATACTTATGGAGGTTAATTCACAAATTCTTTAATGCAGCTGCCATTGTACAACAAAAGTCATACTTGTACATAATTGAATAGAGAACTTTATGAACAATAAGATTTCTGAAAAAGGTATACAGAAATCCTATGTTGAAGATGTGGATTCCTGATTTTTTTTTTCAAATAAGTATACTAAGATGAAAAAACATAAGCTTTCATTTATTTACCTTTTTGTTTTATATCGAAACAGCCGCGCAGGCAGAAGCCTAAATGCCGGAACACCGCTGCTGCTATGATGATCCCAAAGAAATTTTGTTAATACGATTTTTGAACTGCCTAAGGTTAGTAGAACCGGGAAAAGCTTCCTCCCGTAGATTGTTCCACAATCTAGACACCCTCGGGACAAAGGAGCGGTCGTATCGGCCAGTTCGGGATGTACGAAGTTTGACACGGTTAGGATGGGACGCCGAAGTCAGGCGGGTCTGTCTGGCAGGCACATCGCGCGGCGGCATCATGGAAGAGAGCTCTGAGGAGCAAAGCCCGTTGGTGTAGCGATAGAAAAGAGCTAGATCGCCGACGGCCCGCCGGTGCGAAAGAATCCCGAGACTGTCTGTTAGAGAAGAGTCATCGATCAGTCGGACCGCCCTCCTCTGGACAGCATCGAGCATGGACAATGTAGTCGGGGCGGCAGCACCCCAAATGTGTGAGCAATACTCGAGGCTAGGCCTTATCTGGGCCTTGTACAGAGTGAGAAGGTCATGTGGAGAAAAGTACTTCTTAGCCTAAACAAATAGCCTAGCTTTTTCCCAGCAGCTGCAGCTATTGAAGAGATGAGTTCGTGCCAGATCAGGTCCTCGGTGATCTGGACTCCGACCAGCCGAAATGAATGGCTCTTTGGTAGAACTCGACCGTCCATCGAAACTGTATGAGCGCTAGGACGCTTTTTGTTCGTCAAAGTACAGTACTGTGTTTTGGAAGCATTGAACTGTACAAGATTGTTGCGTCCCCAAGCTGATAGCCTCCAGGTCTCTTGTCAGAGAAGAAATCGTCGCTAGTCTTCTTTTTTGCAGCTCAGCGGCAGAGATCGGCTTGTCACTCTGAATTGCTGCATGTAGAGTGCTGTCATCAGCGAAGCTGTGGATTGGGTTGATCGTGCAGGAAAGGAGGTCCTTGATATGTAAGAGAAACAGTGTTGGAGCCAAGACCGATCCCTGGGGAACACCCGCGTTGACGTTGTGGGATGAAGAGGAGAATCCGTCAATTACGACGGATATCTTGCGGCCAGAGATAAAGTCAGCCACCCATCTGCAAAGCTTTTCTGGTAGGCCGTAGGATGGAAGTTTGCTTAAGAGGGCAGCGTGCAACAGCTGATCGAACGCTTTCGTGATGTCAAGAGCAACGACATGAGCCTCACCATGAGACTGGATGAGTTTACTCCACAGTTGCGTGACGTAAGCTAGGAGGTCCCCTGTGGATCGTTGGTGCCGGAAACCGTACTGCCTGTCGCTAATCAAGCTGTGACGTTCGAGGTAGTCCAGAAGCTCGCGATTTATGCACCTCACCATCACTTTACTTATAACAGAAAGCAGAGCTATAATCCTGTAGTTGTAAGGGTCGGTTTTAGATCCTTTTTTTGGGATGGGCTGTACATGAGCAAATTTAAAGTTTTCTGGGAAGGTGCCGGATTCATAAGATATCTAGAAGAGACGCGAAAGAACTGGAGCAAGCGCCGCTGCACATCTCACCTCGTTTCAATTGACATTTGTTAATCACCCCATCTTGACTGTTTAATTTTTTTTGTCTTGTAAGCAATATGGCGGATTTAGTTCATTCACAAATTCCTTCATAGCGCCGCTATTTTGAAATGAAACTGTCATTTGTGAACATCGCTGAAAAGAAAATTTTGCATAGAGTACGATTATGGAAGAAAATATACAGGTTTCCATTTGAAAAACGAAAGTCGAAGTCACTCTCGGTTAAACCGGAAGGGAGATATATGACCCATTCAACTTTCCAGAAATGCCTCTTAATGACTAACTAAACATGTCCCAATCTTGGAGCGATATCTTTATTTGCCAAAAAAATGCAGCGTGTTTCCAATTTTTATTGTCACCCGGTATATTTTGAAAAGGTTATTGTCTCATAGCTGGCGTTGCAGCCACAAGCGACATGAATTAGCTGTATATCTTAATAGGCAAAACGTGATGAAGTATCGTGAAAAATAAATTATTTAGGTATATTTCATAACCTTACTTTTTTGCGTTCCTGACATTGCTGTTTTAATAATTAATAATAGTGTAATTTTTAGATGATGCCTGACTCTGATACGGACGTAACGCCTCCAAAAGCATTTTTAAAAACAGCGAAATTAGCGTTAATAGTAGGCATAATTCCAAAGTTTTCTGAGCTCACTGCTTAAAGTGCATTTTCACAACTTGTGTACATTTCCTAAATGTAATTGTATTGTAAATATTAATTTAAAAAAGTTTTTTTTTATGTGAAACTGTATAATAGTTGTACTATTTATTGAAACCTGTTGGAAGAAAAAAATAAAACACGTCAAATGCTTTTATTTTGTATTTTGTTTGAGAGCTTTTTACAAAATATATACAAAATATACAGCTAAAATAAATACAGTTTTTTTGAACTGATAGAAAATAAACTTGGAATTAGTTTATTTTGTTTTCTTGTGGAATGTGGTCCATCTTGAGGTAGACTCATTTGATACTCGTAACTTTACTTTCTGCATTTAGTTCTTTACCATATTGAACTAACCGCCAAACATAAAAACGATGAATTGAACGTCGTTCCACTCAATAGCTTTCCTATCAGTTCAAAAATAAGTTTTGATGAGTCCTTAAAACTTAAACTATGATTCTCCTACTGGTCTCACTGTGGAATTCTGCTTGATTTCCTTGAATCTGTCTTTACGCAGTAGAATCTTTTCTAGTCCGTGTATTGGCGATTCGAACAGGATGCTCAAGAAAAATGCCACTACATAGGTGAGTATGACATGCCCCAATATCTTGCAGCCCTGAAAAAAAATCGATATGTGACAAAAAATGGTGTCAAGTAGGTTGACTGCAGTTCATATGCAACGCCGTCACCGGTTCATAAAATATTAAGCTTAGGCCAATTTAAATCCTCTGAGAAAAACGTCAGTTATGAACATGTACCACAGACATATTAAACGGATTAAGTCAATCAAATAGGCCCATACAGTTAGTCCATAGACATTCCTTCCCTGCCATACTGGTAGTTGTTGTCCACATCTATGCGGCATCACTGTAGCGAGTTATCTTTCATTTCATGCATGTTGCGTGTATCTTTTTTGCGCTGTAATACGGGTAGAGTAGTCAGCTGGACTTGTTTGCTGAGCGGTGAGCCTAGATAGCAGAGTACGCGGATCGTAGGATGCTGTTAATGGACGTTTAAAGATTATTTAGGGACTGTGGAAACATTAAAATATCCGTTTTTTGTCGGAGTCCAAAATGGTAATTTAGTACTTTTTCAAATACTAAATTGCGTGTTCCTCGAAAGCTAAGATAGGAGTACGCGGATCAAAAATATTTCTCTATCATTCAAGTTTAAGTTTTACGGGAAAATCTATAATGTGTGAAATATGGCTAATAGAATTTTACCGGGGTTGGATCGTACAAATATACTAACATCAAAAAATTTAATATGCCCTCGCCTCCCCCTTACAACCTCCTGCCCCCAAATTTCAACCCCTACAAAAATGTTTCTGAAAATGATCAGAACCCTCTGAAAAATCAAAACACGAAGTGGTTTTTTTTTTTGGTTTTGTCTTTTCACCGCCGCCACTGGACCGATTTTCAAAAACCACAAAGCTTTTTCGTCCTTGCTTAGTAGCAATCTTGTGTGGACATTTCATCCGAGTTCGAGCGGTACTTAAGTTATAGATTCACCAAGTTCGAAATGTTGCGCTATTACTATAGTTCCTCGCCGAGTGGCAAAAGTAAAACAAGTACCTTGAACATCACCTATGACATGCAATCCATGATCTCTCGTAACAATTTTTTTAATTTTATTATTCGAACTAAATTGTTTACGCGGACTGTTATTTGATTATGTGTGAACGCATCTAAATCCTCTGTATTTACCACATATGTTTGAATTACACGACGTTTCACCATTGTGGTCTTTTTCAAGTACAAATGACTGTCCCGTAGCGCGAAAAAACCCACTCACAGGCAGTGGATTGCATAAAAAGCAACTGATGTGTTGCCCCAACAGCTTCGGATGGGTTTTCGTAGGACTTTTGGCGTTTACGAAAAAAAAGAAAGGGAATAACCTGCCTGCCCCGGACGGTCCTGGGCGTTGCTGATCAGATTGTTGTAGTAACACACTGTATAGGAATGTGAAAAAGAAAAAACAAACGGTCAGATGAATCAAATTCAAGCGAATAACCGAATGAAAATGGTATTTACCATTTTGGATTGGTATTTACCGATCCGTTCAAGCGAGTGTGGTTATCAGTTTGGTTATAAGATCCGTGACGTAATGAATAATGTGTCAGATGTCATAGTTATCACCGCAAAATTGTAGTATTTACCCAACTTAGGAGTAGTTTTATGTTTCTGGTTATTATTTTAAATGTGACAAGTTAGAATTTTACCGGGCATTGGAAATTTTTGTTGGACTTCAGCTTCATTTTTGGGAAACTTGATACAGGCTGACTTTAGTTGTAGCATAAATTAGAGCACCTTATTAGTTATACTCATTACTGTTGTTGGGGACACTTTAAATCTAGTTCATATGCTTAAGAAAGTGTCATGTGTAGCCATATACCACAAGAATATTAAAATATGGCCGTATAAACTCACTGGATAATGTCCATCTGTATACGGTTTTGCTAATATCTTTTTTCATCGCCTTTTTCATCATTTCTGCTGATTCAATAAATGTTTTCTTTGACATGCGGAAAAGTTTAGAGAATTGAAAGTTATCATAGCTACAAAGCCATGCTTCCATCTTAAAAAATTATTTTCCGAAAAAAAAAGCAATTCTCCCATTAATATTATGAAAGTTTCTCTTTTAAACTTTCCATACACTGAGCACCGATTATTAAGTAATAATAAAAGAATCTGAAATTATATACGCGCTTTTCTAAAATAAACAACTGACGTCATCAACCCGTGTGCATCTTAAACCATATTACAACCGCGGTACATAACACAGAAACTGGTTATTTGCTTGGATTTGCTTATGAGAATAGATAAATAAAATATATTCGCATCACAATAATTGTGAACAGTATAATTCAAACATATGTCGTTTCATTCAGCGGCCAGATAAGCATGGAGGAATATCAGCATGACAAATGCGGGTTAGGTTTCAGGTGTTACAATGAAGAAAGTTTATTTTTCTCACACCAGACAGAATCTCCCTATATCTAGTCTTTTTCACGAGTATCCATTAGGGTAGATGTGCCAAATATCGCACATAGTCCTAATATCGCACCCATCTATATTTTTGCTTGGCAACGTCGCCATCTCACGCTGAATACACTAACTTAAATATGTTAACCCACTGAGTAAATAGTGAACATATAAACGTTGTTTGACAATAGACATAGAAGTAGCGGGCGTGTGGGTCATCGTATCACACTAATATATTCAAACACGTCCAGTTAGCCTCAATTTAACGAAAGAAAGGTAAGTACTACTAAAAGTATTTTCCAACGTATCAGGTAGTTCATATTATGCAGTTTGTGGATGTGTCCTTTAAACTCTCACAGGGTTTGTTATTTTTGTCGTACATGTGGCCATATTGTTTTTTTAATGTATGCCTAATATCGTACACCTTGAGGTAGCCTAATATCGCCCTGTACGGTATTAGGGATGATAGTCAATAGCTTCATTTGCAGAGCAGTCAGTGACGGTTGATGACTGTCATTGACTGTAGTATGTGATCCCGCCGCGGTCTGAATTCCGTTCAGTCTTCTACGGTAATGTAAACAAAATCAATACGCCCTGATGTCAAAATGAAGTCAGAAACCGTTACCAATCGGAACTGACTGTTCTGCGAATGAAGCTAATATGTCCCTGTTATAGTGCACGGCTGCAAACTCCATGACTATCACTTAAACGGCTTTGTGCAGAATAAATAAGTTTTGCAACCATTCTCAATTGTTAGAACATACTGTGTATAATACTGGAGACTCTCCTTTTTAGATGGATGTTAGAATAAAAAGAAAGTGTAAGCAATGGACTGCAGATAATATGAAAAGGGCCATATTGGCTGTGCGAAGAAAAGAGATGGGACTGCTCCGAGCGTCAAATCATTTGGAGTCCCAAAGTCGACTTTAAAAGATAAAGTCAATAGCAAAGTCAAAGACATTGACAAATTAGTTGGAACTAAGTTTGGCCCATCTTGGGCGACAAATTAGAAAATATTTTGATTTCTTATTGCCTCGAAATGGAGAAGCATTTTTATGGCTTAAGAACCAAAGACCTCAAGAGGATGGCATTTCTTCTCGCAGAACGAAATGGCCTTCCACACCCGTTCGCTAAAAAGGATCAGTGTGCAGGATGGAAGTGGCTCCGCTCTTTCATGAAAAGGCATCCTAATTTAAGCTTCCGGAGACCAGAAACAACGTCAATGTCAAGAATAAGGGGGTTTAAAAAAGGAAAGGTTGATGTTTTTTTTGACATATTTGAGCCTTTAATGGTCATCATTGGACATTTTCCAAATAAGCTGTACAATTGCGATGAAACGGGGCTCACCATTGTGCAACACAAAACAAGTAAAGTCTTAGCCTTAAAGGGAAAGAGACAAGTCGCCGCTCTTTCATCTACCGAAAGAGGTTGTAACTGTAGTGACATGTATAAGTGCAGCGGGGTATTATATTCCACCGCTGTTCGTATTTCCCAGTTTTAATATGAAGGCTGAATTACTAGATGGAACCCCAAATGGATTCATCGCTGTATGCCATAAATCCGGCTGGATTCAAATGGACAGCTTCCTGCACTGGTTTAGAAAACAGTTTTTGCCTAACGTGAAGTCCAGCAAAGATGACCCTGTCGTACTGGTTTTGGGTGGGCACTACTCGCATACCAGGAATTTAGAACTGCTTGAAGTTGCACGAGGAAATGGAGTGCATATAATTTCCCTACCTCCGCATTGTACCCATAAAATGCAGTCGCTTGACAAAGCCTTTATGTCCCCGTTGAAAACGTACTATGCGCAGGTCATCGAAAATTGGTTGAGACAAAACAGTAGTAGAGTTGTTACACATTACCAAGTTGGAAGACTTTTTGGAGAAGCCTACAATCAAGCAGCAACGGTCGCAACAGCAACAAATGGATTTAGAAGCACAGGTTTATTTCCTTGCAATCGCAACGTTTTCCAGCCTCATTAATTCGTTTCTGATACGAATGGTAGCGATTGTGTTCAACAGGATCAAAATATTTCCATAATCCAAATAGAAGATAGAGAGTCTCAACCAAGCTGCAGCGTAATTCAAAACAATTTAGAGGGATATTCAGTCTTACCAACAGATATCAGCGCTTTGCCTTCTACATCAAAGACGCCTTCTACATCAAAGGCACCTTTAACCCTATCCGAGGCAGAAAAGCAAGTACAGCTGCTCTGCTGACTAGTTCACCTTATAAGGATAGCCTGGCTTATGGCTTGAGCAAAGCCCAAAAAACAAATGGAAAAGGAGCTAAAACACTGCAAAGGGAATGTGTCGGAAATGTGGCTAGGAAATGCTTCGAAAATCAAGAAAATGAAGCTCCAGCTGAAAAGGAAAGTGAAAGCCGTACAATGAAAAAGCGACTAGAAAAAACAAAAAGCAATCAGTAACCTCTTCAGATATTGATATAGCCGGAGATTTAACAGTTTCCACAGATGATGAAGACAGTGAAGATAACTGCGAGTGTCCGTATTGCAATGAAACCTATTTGAGCGACAGAGCGGGCGAAATGTATATCAAATGTAGAGTCTGGTGTCATGTCAGGGACTGATGATTATCAAAAATTTGTTTGTGACTTTTGCTTGTAGTTTGACCTTTCTTTTAAATTCTGACCTGCACAGTGTCTGTTTTAAGGAATACGGTTTTATTTTATGTATCTATTTAGACTGATATTCAAATAAATGGTTTTCGCATACTTTGTTCCACTTACACTATCCCACAAAAATATTAATTAACATTAGGAACACATTTTTTTGAATACTGGAAATGCATCATTGGAAATGATCTGTCACTACATAGACATTTGATGGAGTTCATTGAAATACATTCACTGCTCACTTAGACCATACTATTCCCAAACTTACTGAACAAGAATCACATTTGTTCCATCGTAATTAACGATTTTATATAGCTATTTCCAAATGGGTGCCATATTCGGCACATTGCCCCTACAGACTGATTATCTAGTAATATTTCAAAATTTCCCATATTGGCAAAGGACACCATTCTGACGGACCCGTCAACGCCAGGTAGACAGAGCCATATTTTGTTTTGGTTTTTTGTACGCTACAGATTCATTTTGTACCTACTTGCTAAAAGCTCTTTTATTTACAAAAGTTCGGTTGCCTACAATAAACAAAACGCTACAAACCAGTTTAACTAGACTCACACCCGATTCATTATTGCCAACGTTGTAGACTAAGACGAAAATGTCACTTGCTGATCAGCTGTTCACCTCAGTAGACGTCAAAGCGTGATGGATACTCGTGAAATAGGGTATACATGGCAGAAGCGCAACATTCCAGGGATGAGGCACCAAAAACTTATTACGTCACAGCTTTAGCGCGAAATTTTAAGTTCGAATTCTGTAGGGCAATTGAAGCCAATTCTTGTTCGTAGAAGCGTGAAAACAGTCGCATTATTCTCCAACCGTTTGAAAACAAAATATTGATATTCCATTTGAATGTATATTTTGGACGGTAGCCCTAAATGTTTATGGTCTCAAAAAGATCACCTGATAGAAACTTTTGAGTGAACCTCGGCGTTGAATATCAGAACAAGGCGGTATTTAAGTTTAAAAAATAATGAGTTACTTTCGACAGTTCCGTTGGTTTTGTGGCAGTTTTACGAAAATATCTTACCAATTCATATTTGCTGAGATAGACAGTCTGCCTGAGCACCCCCATATTGTAGATTTCTATCAAACCGTTTGCCAAGTAAGCACAGTATGTCAGCCTACTTGTTGGAATGAATAGCTTCCACGACAGGAATTTGTTCACCAGTGCTGAAAAAATATAATACACTATAATGAAAACATAATTTCATAACGTCAATGAGAAAATATGTGTAGGTAGATATAATTTAAAAAGTTGCCACTGAATCCTATTTATTAAAACCGTGGTTAACTGCTTTAAACTGAATAGTAGGTTCATGACATTAAATAGTATATAAGTTGCTGATATATACTTAAACTTGTGATTGAATAAGCTATCCAAACCAACTACTATACGGACGCAAAGCCTAGATATCTGTTGGTAGATTATCGATATCTATAAATCTAACCATCCGCCGAATCATTCAGTTTTGAATGCGTGTGTGAGTAAATTGAGGATAAAGTTAAAAGTCCGGTGTATCTATACATTGAAGTTCAAAACTTTCCGTACACATGATAGTTGTTAATTAGTAATAAAAAAGAAATAGAAGCTGGGTCACATAGCGAAAGAGTAATTAAACAGCATGCAACTGTAAACATTTTTGCAACCCAAGTTATAATGGGTGATTTTTTTGCTAGTATCTTTTTGGCAACACTGTTTTTGACAGATGACGCGTGAATCGTGTCTTGTGTCATTGTCAAACTTGTTCAGTTTGGTCTATAATTTAACCATGAATCGACTTACGAACGAATAACGCTTGCAAATTATTGAATTTTACTATCAAAATTCATGCTCGGTTAAGAGAGTGCATGGAGCACTGCTTCCAATTTATGGGCAATTGGTCGGTCTACTGAGGGAGCTATTCGGAAGCTTGTGACTAAATTTCGAACCCAGTTTACATTATTGGACATTAAACCACCAACACGCAGACGTAGAGTGAGGACTGAAGAAAATATTGCGGCTGTATCCGCCAGTGTTAGTGATGACCGTGAAATGTCGACTCGCCGCCGTTCGCAGCAATTGGGCCTCTGTTACTCCACTACGTGGAAAATTTTGCGACAGGATTTGGGTGTAAAACCTTATAAGATACAGCTGGTGCAAGAATCGAAGCCACACGACCTCCCACAACGTTTACAATTTGGTGAATGGGCGCTGGCAAAGTCGGAGGAAGATCCACATTTTTATCGAAAAATTGTGTTCAGCGACGAAGCTCATTCCTGGTTGAATGGGTAGGTTAACAAGCAAAATTGCCGCATCTGGAGTGAAGACCAGCCAGAAGCATTGCAAGATCTACCAATGCATCCCTAAAAAATCACTGTTTGGTGTGGATTATGGGCCGGTGGCATCATCGGGCCGTACTGCTTCAAAGACGACAAAGGCCGGAACGTAACTGTGAATGGCGAGCGCTACCGTGCGATGATAACAAACTTTTTTTTGCCCAAAATGGAAGAGCTGGACTTGGCTGACATGTGGTTTCAACAAGACGGTGCCACATGCCACACCGCACACGAAACAATGGCCCTATTGAGAGGCGAGTTCGGTGAACAGTTTATCTCACGTTTGGTGCCCGACAATTGGCCGCCTATTTCGTGTGATTTAACGCCGTTGGACTATTTCTTGTGGGGCCATGTTAAGGCTAATGTCTACAGGGATAAACCAGCAACGAATGACGCACTGGAAGCCAGTATTGAAGCATTTATTCGTGAGATCCCGGCCGATATGTTGGAGAGAGTGTGCCAAAATTGGACCTTGCGCATGGGCCATCTAAAGCGGAGCCGCGGCCAACATTTACATGAAATAAACTTTAAACATTAAATTATATCGACCGTTCTATCGACTCAAATAAAGATTTAATCGTTTTTTCAAATGTTTTGTGTTTTTTTTTTAATCAAATCCTATACCTCTTAAAAAATCAACCGTTATTTACACATCTTTTTAATAAAAAAATCGTCTCTTCACATTTAATACCTTTGCGGTACTTGGTGGCATTCTAGCGTTTCAAGGAACCTTTAGTGAGATGAAAACTGTTTTGTAACTGCCTGATCAAGTTCATTCCAGAGAAAGTCGATCAGATTGAGTTGGGAGCCGAGGACAGCTAACTCCATGGTTTATAATTACGGTCTGATACAATGAATGTTGACCTCGTAAGTCTTCTCTCCCCTAGGTCAAAAGAAAGCTTGTGATATCTTATTCCATTAAAGATCCTATGATGTAATATAGAAACCCAATCCATTTTTCGTTGATGGAATTATTTAGTTGGAGACCACTGTTCCGTCAACCATACGATTTTCTTCAGTTACCGAAAATGTCCAATATAAAATCCAGAACACGTCTTTTATGTGACAAAAGCCTAGTTCTTTTGATTTTGGTCCATTGCAGTTAAAGATACATTTTTTGCAGACAGTACCGAAGCAAGCGTTTCTTTCTTGTTTAGAATCAAAATATGATTGTTGTCTTTCAGGAAGAATTAGTTCAAAATAAAGATTTTCAGCAAAATAATATAAACAAGTGGGCCGATGGCAAAGCAAATTTGCAATTTTTTCTTATTATTTTGATCAGTTCCTAGTAATTTGAATTTCTCTTTATTAATGGTAGAGTGCCGATTCCTAGGCCAAACCCTTTTTAATGATTTTCTTTTAGCAAATTTCATAGTTTATTGATTGTATAATTTATAATATATAGTGCCCAGCGGCATAATCGTAACTGTTAAGCAGAAACACTGGTCCATAATGGTCACATGGTACCTTCATTCATTGTTGTCTCTTCATTGCATAGGATTGGGAGAATTCTCAATGGAATAAAATATCAGAATAGATCCTTGTTTACTCAGTTTTTAAGTACCTATCACTAGTCAATTGTCCAGAAACATTTGAGCGCTTTACATCCTTTTAGAATATTAATGAGTTTTTACCTGCGTTATCTGTTATGCAAGCTACAAGCACCCATCCTATGGCTAAGCACCAGGCAACTCTATGAAGTGGAGCGTAAATAGCAGCCTCAATACTGCTAGTTTCATGTTCTGGCTTGTAGAATACCACAATGGAGTACATTGCCATGACGCCTAAAAGCGCTGACATGATCCAACCCAACATGATGACGCAGGGACGTATTTTGTACCTGTAAATCATTTTTAAGTATGAAATAAATAACAGACAAGTCTGTCGGCTCATCGTTGAAGGAACATGCCATCGAATCAAGTGCAAGTGCAAACATGACTCGGCGTAAAAACATACATAGACACTTGATTGTTGGTTCCTTTCGCTTGTCGCTGCCTGCCCCGGGTATTTATGTTTCGTTGACCAATATGAGAGCATGATTTTGAACGTCACGCGCTGGTGTTTATTTTGTGCGCGGAGTTAATGAGATTTAAATACACAATAGGTCGATGTATTTTTCAAATTTGGTGGAAGTGTGGATACAACTTGCGTGGATGCATGCACTAGCTAGATCGTCCACCTTTTATCCACTTACCAAAAAATATTTTGTTTCAAAACCACATAAAGTAAATACGAGTACACAAACAACCTCGCGCTAGCCCTGTAGTTATTACTTAAATGGTATAAAGAAACTGGAATGCTTGATGAAGTATATTCAATCATTACCATAATTAAATTGCATCATTCAAAAATACTGTTTTTGCTGGAAACGGTCCCATAAAGCTAGATGCGTATTTTAAGCTTAACCCACAGTCCTTCTCGTTAAAGCTTACCGCGTAATACACGTTCATTTAGTCACGTTGCTTTTGCATGCCCCGCATGCATTACCTCGCCGCAAGTACCTAAATGGGTCATTGAAAACACAGTACCAGGTTCCTTGATTTGTTTCTTTTCATATATACCAATTTTAAATTCAGTGATTAAAAAATTATGTTACGAGTGAATTCAGTATCTACTTTGCCCAAAATAAGATATTTAGCAGTTTTCTTGTTTCCTACCAAAACAATTGAGCCAACCCATAGTGCGAAAATGGAATTACATGATCAACACTTAACTTGGAAAATCCTTTTTTGGCGGAAACAGTTATTTGTGCGGTGATACTTTTCCACTCACGAGTGCAGTTGACCGAATGACGCGAGGAGTGTTCGCCCTGCCCGGATTTTCTCTATGTACCTTAACGATACTAAAAATGCAAACTTATAACGTAACAAGTTAATAAGGCAATATTTACGTGCAATTTTCAATAGTAAGCGTTAAATTGTTTAAGATTATTCTCTTGCTTAAGTTACTATATTCCACTCACTACTTCAGGCTAAAACAATATGAGCCAAGAACTGTCTTTCGGGTTCTTTCCATTATTATTAATAATGTTAGAAGGTAATTTGGTATTCCAATCTTTTAATAAGTCAAAAAGTTATTTATTTGTCAATGACACAGTTCGGTAAACCATTCCATATTTACTCATTTGAGGTTTTTAAAAACTAGTCCTCCCAACTGTATAATCAATAAAGTGGATCTAAAGACTTGAGAAATGAAACTGTTAGAGGTAGCTTTTAGGCAAGATTGGAATTCTTGAAAGGTCTCATTATAGTTGTCTTGGCGTAGAATGCAAGCTACCGCCAAAGTGACACGTTAAACAGAAAAATACGAGTAATGATACCTAAAAGTGAATAATTAACGGGTGATTTTTTAAGAGGTATATAATTTGATTTTCAAAAAAACACAAAAAATGTGAAAAAACGATTAAATCTTTATTTGAGTCGATAGAACGGTCGATATAATTTAATGTTTAAAGATTATTTCATGTAAATGTTGGCCGCGGCTCCGCTTTAGATGGCCCATGCGCAAGGTCCAATTTTGGCACACTCTCTCCAACATATTGGCCGGTATCTCACGAATAAATGCTTCAATATTGGCTTCCAGTGCGTCAATCGTTGTTGGTTTATCCCTGTAGACATTAGCCTTAACATGGCCCCACAAGAAATAGTCCAACGGCGTTTAATCACACGATCTAGGCGGCCAATTGACGGGCCCCAAACGTGAGATAAACTGTTCACCGAACTCGCCTCTCAATAGGGCCATTGTTTCGTGTGCGGTGTGGCATGTGGCACCGTCTTGTTGAAACCACATGTCAGCCAAGTCCAGCTCTTCCATTTTGGGCAAAAAAAAGTTTGTTATCATCGCACGGTAGCGCTAGCCATTCACAGTTACGTTCCGGCCATTGTCGTCTTTGAAGAAGTACGGCCCGATGATGCCACCGGCCCATAATCCACACCAAACAGTGATTTTTTCGGGATGAATTGGTAGCTTTTGCAATGCTTCTGGCTGGTCTTCACTCGAGATGCGCCAAGTTTGCTTGTTAACGTACCCATTCAACCAGAAATGAGCTTCGTCGCTGAACACAATTTTTTTTATAAAAATGTGGATCTTCCTCCAACTCTGCCAGCATCCATTCACCAAATTGGAAACGTTGTGGTATGTCGTGTGGCTTCAATTCTTGCACCAGCTGTATCTTATAAGGTTTTACACCCAAATCCTGTCGCAAAATTTTCCACGTAGTGGAGTAACAGAGGCCCAATTGCTGCGAACGGCGGCGAATCGACATTTCACGGTCATCACTAACACTGGCGGATACAGCCGCAATATTTTCTTCAGTCCTCACTCTACGTCTGCGTGTTGGTGGTTTAATGTCCAATAATGTAAACTGGGTTCGAAATTTAGTCACAAGCTTCCGAATAGCTCCCTCAGTAGGCCGACCAAATTGCCCATAAATTGGAAGCAGTGCTCGATGCACTCTCTTAACCGAGCATGAGTTTTGATAGTAAAATTCAATAATTTGCAAGCGTTGTTCATTCGTAAGTCAATTCATGGTTAAATGATAGACCAAACTGATCAAGTTTGACAATGAAACAAGACACGATTCACGCGTCATCTGTCAAAAACAGTGTTGCCAAAAAGATACTAGCAAAAAATCACCCATTATATTGTTCCACTATAAAGTTTCCCCTTTGAAGACTGAGGCATTTTTTACGGGGATGAAACTTGATGCATGTTAGTAATTTCAGGTGCTGTTTACTTAGGAGATCTGGATCATAGAGAAATGAATACAATGAGGCGAATGACAATACTATGAATTACTCGCACTGTGATCAAAATTAAATTGTGTATTTCAGACCAAACAAAATAATTTCAGTATAAAAAACCGATCAAGATTATTTTTGGAATTACAAAATTATTCGAGTAGTTAAAGCAATAATGCTAAAGCTATTTCTAATTATTTACTTCTTTTCTTTGCTCTATTTCTCCCTTCCTTTCTTTCCTTTTTTCCCTTTCCTCCTTAAACATGTTTGGTATCTGGGTAGCCAGTCCTGACAGACTAACAGACCGACGAGACTTTCAGCTAAGAGCAAAGGTCTACCGGACCGCTCTGGCGAACGATGACGAATAGTACTTAGAACATACTGAATTTGGAGTTTTTTATCTGCTATCATCGAAGTTTCCACGCAAAATACGTATCACATTCGCCTTATTTTTGTACGCGGGTTTCTGTTATAAGCATCTATCGAAATCTCCCCTCAAAATACGGAGTACTTCCACCATATTTTAAAATGCGAGCTATGTTTTCGCACTCCATATTATTGCATTGTAACGCCGGTAGGATACCGGATTTCACTCGCCTGGAGCTTTTTTAGCCATAGGTTCGGCTTTGCTTTTGTTGCCAAGGCTCTGGATCAGCAAGGCCAGATTGATGTAATTAATACTGATATACAGAAAGCCTTTCACCGAATTAACCGTTGCTTATTACTACATAAATTATTCATCTTATAATTTTCTGGAAATCTATTCTCGTTCCTCCAGTTATGTCTTTCGGACATAACACTGTGGAATATGGTAGTTTTAAGTCTAATAATTACATAGCTACTTCAGGAGTTACTTAGGGGTCTAACTTGGGACCTTTATTATTTTTAATCTTTATTAATGATGTGTCGCTTGAAATGTCATCTTTATTTTTGCTGATGATTTAAAAGATTTATAATAATAGCGTAACTTCGGGAGTCTGTCATTTTCTTCAAAATAATTTGGAAGGTATCAATTCATGGTGTTCCAAAAACCTCCTCACACTAAATGTGTCAAAATGTAAAGTAGTAGCATATTATAGGAAACAAAATGTTATGTTTTATGATGACTACAGTATTAATCAGGTGAGGTTGGAAAGAAGTAACAGTTACAAAGATCTAGATGCTACATTTGATGTCAAGTTCACTTTTAATGATATATATAATAATAAATAACATTACATCGTCAGCTTCCCGAATTGTAGGGTACTGTGTCGAATGTTAAAACAGTCCAGCTTCTATATCTAACGTTCATCAGAAGCAAGCTTGAATATGCATTGCTTATCTGGGCACCTATTTATCAAAACTATAAGCTGATTGGAATCTATTCAACGAAAAGCAGTAAAGTATATTTTTTCAAATGCAATGGTTTCTATCCACAAAGAGGCTTCGGCTATATGTTTTGTTCACTTTACTCCACAATAAGATTTGTTATCCATATATTTCAAGTAAGACATGTTTCAATGTTCCTCGCTCAGGTAACCGTTATTATGCTACATTTTACTGTGATTTCTGCCACATAAATGTTTTGTCCAAGTCTTCCGTTCATAGGATGTGTACAGTATTCAATAGTATCAGTAACTGCGACATATTTAATGAAACTAAACCTCGCGTCATCGAACTTTATGGTGATAAACTTCTAAGGTAGGATATTATTGTTGATTATTTAGGGTAAACTCGGTAGAGATGGCGCACGTTTCTTTAAGTTCATATAGAAAATCAGATTTAAATTATTTAATGAGTTTTAACTTTTTATACAGTAGTACTGAATAAAATGAAAGTAGAAAATACCAAAATGCAAAACTTTATTTGAATTTATTAACAAAAAAAGGTTTTTTTTTTCTAAATAATAGGAAATACCATCTCACCCATAGGGTATGGGGGAGATGGTGCACACACAAACATTGAGAAAAAATGACTAAATTTTAACTCTTTCACATCGACCGCATCGCAAGGAGTAGTTTGGAAACTTCGTGCAGCTCTCATGAAGCCATTTGTGGCGAGAAACGCACTGCAACCAGTCCTCTTGACTTGTAGTGCTCATGTAGATCTCCCCACAGCCAACACACTCAGTTTCCTCATCGTTGTCATGGATGTTGCTATTTGAATCGCTTTGTAAATCAGTAGTTACATCGCTATCTGAAGGAGAAGTACTGTAGTCTCTGAATTTTTTTGTGTTGCTTTTCATGGTTCGTCGCCATTTTGGGGCTTTTTTACAATTTTTCACACCTTTCTTGCCCTTTTCCGCTAACAGTTTGTAGCGTAGTTCTGCCAAAGGTTTGTCATTATCCGAAAAAGATTCACTCGAGTTTCTTGTTTTTTTCAGTTGGCTGATCTTGGATATTTTGTAATTTTTTTCACCCTGATTTTTTTTTGGCACAATTTAATTTTGTTTTCTAATAGCGTTTTATTTTTTAAAATATCTGGAGATGTCAATATTTCAGCAAGCTGACGAGTGCGTTTGCGTACCATATTCACTTTAGAAGTACTAGGAACTTGGCAGATGGTGTCTAACATTTTTCCCGGGGTTTATTTCTCTTTTTCAGTTTTTTTGTTCATGGTTTTGTTTGACGTATTTTTACGATCGATATCGTCTCTAGAACTTGTGGCATTCTCTACGTTGTAGATTTGCCCTATTTTAGACCCGAAATAAACGAATCCAGTAAATGGGTAAGTCAAATTGAAGTCATTAAGCGTGAAGTTGGGTGGTCTGACGTTCAAACTCTGGCAAGGATTGGCCGATTTTTATTGAGTGGTGCAAAGAGATGGTTCGAACGTTGGAACCCAGACAACAGGGATTGGGCTACTTTTCTAGTTGACTTTGCTGAGGCGTTTCCTCCTAAAAGAAATTTGGGTCGTTTGTTGGAGGCGGCAGCAAAATCTAACATTTCTTTTGTCAACACGTATGAAAGTTATGTGCATGAGAAATCATCTATGCTTAAAAATTTACGTGCAAATTGGTGCTAAAGTGATTTGGTCGAACTCATTGTTTGTGGAATCTCTGAACTAGAGGTTCGCAATGCTGCGATGAATGCTAACTGCAGAACTATTTCTGAATTATCGGTTTTCTTGTCCCTTTTGTTAAGCCTTCGTGCAATGACAGACAAAATATAGCCGAAAGTGATTCTTCTTCTCTCAAAAGGAAATATTCGTCTGTTGACAAGCAAAAAGGTGGTTTTGTTAAAAACTCTAAGTGTTTCCAGTGCGGAAAATCTGGACACGTTAAAGCGAATTGTGTGAAGAAAACTAAATTGGTATCAGACGACAAATACAATTCCATAGGTCAGCGTGACTTACCAAGCACATCTCATAGTTTTGACATTTGTAGTTTTTGTGCTAAGAAAGGTCATAGCGTATCGAACTGCTTTACCAAAGCTGCTATTGATAAACGTCGCAACCAGTTGGGTCCACCGAAATATTAATTGATGGTTATCATTTTTCCTGTTTAGTTGATACTGGAGCTGATTTATCATTGATATCTGATAAGTTCCTCTACTTATTTGATAATAAGGTTGTTAGCTGCAATGTTATTTTGAAAGGACTAGCTAACGTTACAATTAAGACTACAAAGAAGTTTACGGCTTGTGCGAAAAATTCTGGTGTTGACATTCCGATGTGTTTTATTTTTGTTTCCGGCGAGTGTCTCGATTATGTTTTGATGGGGCGTAATATTTTTGAAGATAAAAGTCTCGCCACCATAACAGATTATCAAGGATCACGCGTTGTGCGACGTCAGCTGCCTGACATAAATAACGTTTCAGAAGATTTTGGTGCTTTAGTCACAGAAGTTGAAGTACCTGAAGAACATCGCGTAGGTCTTGAAGTTATATTGCAAGATTTTAGTGGCATGATTACAACAGGCAATAAAGTAGGTGCAGTGAATAATGTCAGCCTGAAAAATCGTCTTGAAAAGGACATTGTCGTCTATCGTACTCCTTACCGACTAGCCGCCAATGAAAAGGATGCTGTTCGTCATATTATAAATGATCTGCTGGAAAATAAAATTATACGACCTAGTGAATCACCATTCGCAAGTCCCGTATTACTTGTGAAAAAGAAAGATGGCCCATTTAGAATGTGTGTCGACTATCGTGAGCTTAACCACATCACAATTAAGGATAGGTTTCCTTTGCCTCTGGTCGACGATCAACTGGACAGACTTGGAAAGGGACGCTACTTCACGTCTTTGGATATGGCTTCGAGATTTCACCAGATCCCCATTCACGAAAAATCCATCTACAAGACGGCATTTATAACATCAGATAGCTATTTTGAATACTTGCAAATGCCCTTTGGTCTTGCTAATGCACCATCTGTATTTCAGAGAACTGTAAACCTAGCCTTAGGAAGCCTGAAAGACTCAATTGCTCTAGTTTACCTTGATGACATTTTGATCCCGAGTGAATATGAAGAAATGTCGTTTTCTCCAATCTACTCTGGAGTACCTTGGCAGAGAAATATCGGTTGATGGCATAAGACCTGGGAAAGCCAAAGTTGAAGCACTTGTGAACTCACCGGTACCAGAGAATGTGAAACAGATACGCCAGTTTATGGGCCTAGCAGGTTATTTGCGTAAGTTTGTGCCTGAATTCGCCAGTCGGACAGCATGCATAACTCGACTAACCAAGCAAGGAGTCCCATTTTATTGGGGTCAAGAGCAAGAAGTTGCAAGGAAGTATGTTATTGTTCATCTAACATCAAGACCGTTGCTTGCTGTATATGACCCGGAACTTCCGACGGAGCTGCATACTGATGCAACCAGTATAGGATATGGGGCTATTTTGGTTCAGAAACATGAGAACCAGTCCAAGGTAGTCGCTTACTTCAGTAAGCGTACGACTAACTGTGAATCCAAATACCATTCTTCCGAGTTGGAGACTTTAGCAACAGTTCAAGCCTTGAGACATTTCCGGACTTATTTGCTTCCGATAAAATTCACCATCGTTACTGACTGCAATTCCATCAAGGCAACCTCCACTAAGAAAGACCTGGTACCCCGTTTAGCTCGCTGGTGGATGTTTCAAGACTTTAATTTCGAAATAGTCTACCGAAAAGGAAGTGGTCTTCCGCATGTCGATTATTTGAGCAGAAATCCTGCACAAACAATTCTCCGAGTGTCGCATAACAGTTGGGCATACATAGAGCAAAAAGGAAACGAAGAAGTTCAGAACATGCTACGACAACTTAGAGAAGGCAACCTTGATGCAAACCAGTATGCTGAAAAGGATGAAATGCTTTATCACAAGCAAGTAAATGCAGATGGTATGCCTATGTAGCCTGTGACTACTGCAGAGGCGCGTGAAAAGTTGTTGAATGTTCTAGCGCTGTTTGGAACTCCCAAACGAATAATAATGAACGCTGCTACGTCATTTAAGAACCCCACATTTCTAAAGTACCTGGATTTGTTGGGGCATCGAATACCATTTTGTAACACCAGATGTGCATAGGGGAAATGGGCAGGTGGAACGCTATATGCGAACCATTAGAAATCTTCTGAGAGTTGAAACCCAAATAAGGACAGGATGGCCGAACGGATTATGGAAGATCCACCTTGTTCTCAACTCGACTATGCAAAAATCCATAAATGCAACTCCTTTGCAGCTGCTTTTGGGTATCCGAAGCTCGACTCCGATGGTACAAGCTGTGTTGAAGGATGTGTCTAAGGATCTAACTCCTTTGCGCAACCGAGATTTGGATCGACAGCGATTAGCGAACAGGCTATTCGTTGCACAAGATTCCAACACTGAACAAAAAAGAAGGGACAAAGTGCAATTTTCAGTCGGTGATTTTGTACTGATGCACCGGGACTCTCAGATGCCCATAAGCACGAGCGATTATGAGTTTCTTGGTCCTTATGAAGTGATTAAGTGCTTGGAAAATGGACGTTATGAGATTAAGAAGGTTGGAACAACCATCGTAACAAAGGCAGCTAAGGAACAGCTAAGATCATAGCCTGTACAGTGGTCCTCCAATGTTGATATGGGGATATACTTGAGTTTTTGGAGGCTGAGGAAGAACGAGGTCAGTAAATTTCTGGTTCCATTCTGCGATGTGCTGTCTTGCTTAATGTTGGTCTCTATCTCGTCAGAAGTAGAGCCAAATGGAGGCCGAGGTCTCCATGGAAACTGCAACCTGGTCTCTGTCTCGTCAGTAGTAGAGCCAGCTGAAGGCTGCGGTCTTCAGGGGTGTTGTAACATGGTCTCTGTCTCGTCAGCAGCAGAGCCAGCTGAAGGCTGAGGTCTTCAGGGATACTGTTATTTTGGGTCTCTGTCTCGTCAGTAGCAGAGCCAGCTGAAGGCTAATGTCTTCAGGGATATTGTAAGATTGGTCTTTGTCTTGTTAGTAGTAGAGCTACTAGCACTGAAGTTTTAAAGTTGTTATTTTAATGAGACGGTCGTCGCCGTTACTGTTAAAGGTTTATTTAATTGAATTTACGTGCAATTGTGTAATAGAATTGTGAATTTTGGTCTTAGTACCGGTAATGGTTAATTCAGATTTGAATCATATTTGTGAGATAATATAGTTGTGGCCTGTGTTTTGCATATGCTTTTGACTCACAGATTCGGCCTGTGTTGCAGAGGGCGTCGAGAACGTAGCAGCAGTCAGGAAGGCCGTGTAAGAAACGAAAAACTTTGGCGAGCCGCTGCCGGTCACGAAGGGGTACTGCTGTGTAGTTGCTGCTCTGAGGTAGCTGAGGGAACGACGATCGGCCGCCGTCTCTGGCAGAGCGAGCTGTAACGTCGAGCAGTGCAAATCGTGCTCGGATAATCTGCCGCTCCGAAATTACGTTAAATCGTTGTGCTATTATTATTGTTGTTAATACAAGTTGCTTGGTGGAAAATTAGTGTTTGACTATCCGTGTTTCTAACAATATATAATTGAAAATTTAATTACCTTAATTCCAAATAAAGGCACGAGATGAACGGCAAAGGTGTTTACTTGCAAATGAAGATCGACAGTAATGGCAACGTTGTCGGCTCCTAGTTCGTTTAGGAAAATATTGCACTGCGCCGTCTTACCCCGCTGCGCCATCTCTACCGAGTTTACTCTACTTATAACCTATTATTCTTATCTCTGTATCTGTTTACTGTGTTTTGTTGATTATTTATTGATATTTCCTGTAATTGGGTAAGTATATCTGCCTGATGGAAATAAACATTATTATTCTCATTAATATTATTATTATTATTTGCCCAGGGCCCCTGTGTGGTTTAAGAGTGCCCTGTTACTGGAGCATGTTTTTAATACCAAATATGATCATTGATAACTTACCCCTTGGCTTGAATTTTGTGTACAATATATCCAAAAAGGACGCCCAAGCCATAAGAACTGCAACGCATGTGCGTTTTGATATATGCAGTGACGAAGTAGTAGTTAGTGGAGAGATCCTCGATTTCCCTGCAAGAAATAAAATGATGTTACGCTGTAATTTTCGACTTTATATTTAGTGTGATGTTTTTGATCATTCAGAATAAGTTTTGCTCAGAATTTATATGTTATATAAAATAACTTCATGTTTCATGCAAAATGCCCTCCAGGAGTGTTGACTTACGTCCTGTGAATAATTCTTCAAACATTCCATTTCCAAGTGGTTGGGGCAGTGAAAACTAATCTTCTGTTAAAGGAAATAAATACTTAAATATAAAATACTTATTGGAGTTACTTACGGTGGATATGCCATAAGAGTTGGATCCAAACCTTGGCTGTACGTAACGTAAATAGGAACGATGATAGATACTAAAGTACAGGCAAATATCGCGCCTTCTCCAATTTTACTCCATTTCCACAATGCGTATATCAGAAAAGGTGCAACGATGAATAGGTGATAATCTACTGCCAAGTACCAAGCTTGGAACATGCACTAGAATGGAGAAAAAAAAACATGGTTTCAAGTGGGTTGACACAGTTCATACAAGAATATGCACACGTTTTCCCCTCTTAGAAAAAATTACGAACATGTATAACAAATGATTTAAATGGATCAAGTCAGTCAAAAAGGCCCATACGATTGAACCCAATCGTGGCCTATTCGACAAGGTTTTATTTTTTATATTCTTCTACCTTCCAGAGATAGCAGCGTGTGAATTTGTCAACGCCAAAAAAGTTCAAAAATGAGCAGAAGCCTCTGAAGCGCCAAGAAACGAAATTCACGTACTTTTCTCGGTTTTTGATCGCAGCTGTACCGACTTTGATCACCTACAAATCTTTTTGTCCTGGGCATAGCAGTGGAACTTTATGTTATATCAAAATCCGAGAAATGTTTTTCTGGTTATTGCAGCACCAACGATTAAGTGACAGACAGACAGTCTGGCCAAGGGAAATGAGCCACTTGGTTCTTCATGATATCACATAACACCTCATTTCGGCGATTACAATACTTCCCACTAATTGGCGATAGAAGTAACATAAAAAATGGTTATGGAAGCCTTAGTTTGGTGTTATATGGTTCGTAATTTCCCCATACCGAGCCGCAGTTGCCACTTGTACTTGTAGTTGGGATATATAAGTGGTAACATATTGTGACGAATACTGTCGGCGCAATCTGTTGGGCGAGTCTCCTACTCGCTAGAGCTTCATGGCCGATTGATGTTTTTACGCGAATCACGACCACACCAGCCATCTGGCGGCGGCTGTGTGGATCGCTTTCTAGATCGCCGCGAAGTGATCTCCAACATTCTAGATACCGCTTCGTGGTCTTTTCTCGCAGCGGTAATTGAACTATATAGAACTCGGCGGCCGGGAGATGGGGCAGAGAGTACGGAATACAGTAGAGTAGAACAGAGTGAAGTGTCCAGTCAGTGGCGCGACATAAGAATTAGACATAAATAGTGGTGTATATAAATGTTTTATCCAGTTAAATAAATTGGTGCATTTCTTTTTGTGGAATCCAGTGTTTTAATCCACTACCAAAAGAACCCAGAAAAACGCTACAATATGTATGTGAATGGCCATATATGTTTGAGACTTACCAATTTGTCAGTGTTGACGTAGTTATTGATGTACAAAAGATTCGTCCACCAGGAACTTAAACACCTTTCTTGTTCCAGTCCGATCCTGGATTCCCAAAATGGTCCGGAGCCTAATCTAGGCAGTATGGTGGCGTACAAGCCTATCACAACTACGTACGCAGGTGTCAACCTGTAAAACAAAAAGTCCATAATATACTGAAATCTTTTAATTTGACAGCACTAAGAGCATGCATGTATGGAATTCGGTACTGGGCAGTCACAAACATGTTTCAGGTTTATTTTTTTATTTTTCAAAGTATGTTTCCATTTCAACTTTGCTCCGCAACATCTGCCACACATGTGGCAAACATTTGTATAGTATGCAACATGTTGCGGCACATGCACTGCAAAAAATGCGTGTAGAATCACATTGTTATACTATGTAAATATCATTCAATATACCGTGTTTTTCATTTTGATAGTAATAATAGCGTAATAATAGCGTAAAATCACATAATGATTCCCTTGAAAAATTCAAATGACAAGGAGTATCGAGTAATAGCTTACTTGAAAGGTCTTTCGAAATCCTTTATTTTGACGGTTGAGTTTTTAAAATCAGTCGATTCGTTTTCGAGAAAATTAGAAAAATCTTTATTTATCTTAATCTGTTCAGATAATAAGTGTTCAGAATTTTAAATTAATTAGTTTATAATTTAAAACGGAAACTACCAACATAAACAGCATTTCGGAAGACTTAACGTGGCAACAACTGAAGAACAACCAGAATTTTTTTCCGTTTTCTTTTCATCAACACAGATTTTCTGGGCGAACTGTATTTATTGTTATACCTGTTTAGTTATTTGTTACTAAGGGAAAGAAAGAATTTAATTTGCTGTGAGTTACCTTTGTGACAATCTTCGAATAGTGAAAATTAATTTATTGATTCAGATTTTACTTTCAAAGTGGTTTACACACTAGCCGAAAGAGTTGAAATGATTCTAATTTATGGTGCCCAAAATCAGTGTTCTCGGTAAAGTGCCGTCATGTTTAACGCCATACATCCGGGGAAGATAACTACTCAAACTGGATCTGTTGCAAACAAAAACGTGATCATAGGGGAGTTTTGGATGAAGACGCTCAAGTTGAAGTTTTGGGTTATTTTGAGATACATCATAATACTGCATTTCGCACAGTTGTAGCTGCGACTGGTATTTCATTAGGCTCTGTACACACAGTTACTAAACTCCATAAATGTCACCCATTCAAAATGAAAATATTGCAACAGTTAACCGAGATGATTGCGATAGGCGATTCGAGTCTTGTGAACAAATGACTGCAGCAATTAATGATAATACCATTCATGTTAAAAATATCTGCTTCAGTGATGAATGCACATTTAATCTAAATGGATTTGTAAATGAGCATAACTGCAGCTATTGGAGCAATGAAAATTCTCATGCTTTGGTAGAAGGACCCAGCACCCCCAAAAAATTATTTTAGGAAACAAAGTGATTGGGCCATTGTTTATTAATGGAAATTTGAATGAAGACATTTATTTGGATATGTTGGAAAATACCACCAATCTGCTTATCACTAAATCCATTGAAAACCAAATCGAAGAGGTTGGAAACTCTATTCTCGATGAGATTGAAATATACATATCTCCAGCAAGACGGCGCTTCTCCTCACTACGTTCTTCAGCTTTGGCAATGGCTAGAGGACGAGTTTCCAGATAAATTGATAGGGCGAAGAGGGTCTGTAGAATGACCTGCTAGATTTCCTGATTTGACGTCATTAGATCTTTTTCTAAAGGATCATTTGAAATCTATTGTGTTTACTTCCCAGCCTGAATGTTTGGATGAACTTCGTTAACACATCATCGAAAGCTGCCATGATATCCCACATGTTTTTGAGAATGCCCGTCAAGAATTTGGACATGGCCTGTATCACTGCTTGGCCAATAAATTGAAATAAAAAGTGATATTTTCGGGTGTTTTTGTTTTCTATCTGAACAAATTAAAGGACTAGAAAGACCTTTCAAACAAGCTATCACTCGACACCCCTGCCGCTTAAAATTTTTGAGGGGATGACCCGGAGGAGCAGAGGGTGCAGGTTTTTGGTTGAAAAGTTGTCCCCCTTAACAAAGCTTTTGACGAGTCACGGAGTTTATTCTTTTAATGAGTGGTTTTCAGTAAATCCGTGGTGGGAAGTATATGTATAATAGGTAACGAGATGAAAACTCGTGTAATGCAGAAAAGGTTACAAACGTAGTTTTCACCGTAAAGGTCACATGAATCACATAAATAGAGTGAACTTAACCATTTTTTGTGTGTAAAATTGCAGGACATGGGGCTGGAAACGCTAAAACTATATTTTGCCAGGTTAGATTATTTTTACAAGCACCAACAAGTAGGAAGTATTGTGAAAGTTTCGTATGTTTTACGTGGTTTTATCTTCTCCAACAAGTGAAAAGTCAAATGAAAATGTGTTAGAACCCTGTGCTGTTTGAAATATGCATCGTTTTTATTTTTTAATCTATAAGAAAGATGAAGAAGTTTTTGTGCATATTTAGAATGTGGTTTTGCACTATAGTTTTGTTTGTATGGGCTCCATGGGTCATTAGTGCTGAATGTGGATTGTTTTGATGGCTCATCGCAAACAAAGCAATGGTTTGTGTCAGCTTTTACCTCTTTTTGATTAATTGTTTTATTTTTGCTGAACTTCAAACTAAAGCTCTTTTCTACTACTGATTTTCTTCCTTTTGAAATTGGATACATACACTGTATACTTATTGTAGTTATTTGGTTTTTTAATTGGTTTGTATTTTATACGTATGGTGTGGTTAATAACCTAAAGGTATTCCATGTAAAAGAAACAGATCAGAATTCGAATTCCTGATTTTTGAATACAGTGATCTTTGAGAAAATATTTCATCAACTGGTAACTCTATGCGCATGACTACAATAGTTACAATTGCTGTAATTTTCAACAAAACAAATGGAAAAGTTAGTTCAGTGGCAAGATATGAATCTGTTGCTTTCTTTTTATAAAAAACATAACTAGTTATGCAGAAAGATTATCAAGCTCACGTATAAGTTCAAAATATCAAGTCTAAATAATATGGTAATTTGCGGTTTCATTTATCATGAACTGCCTTCATATAACCTGTTACATATTTCAATACATAATGAATTCTGCATACGGTGAGGTTCAAATTTGACTGACGTCGTGATGTGTGCGAGCGAGAAGTGCGAGAAGCGTGCAATATGTATGTTAAAAACAGTGCGCCGATGGCGTCCGTGTCCTTGTCACTCGGGTTGCAAGAAAATGAGCGCTTCTATCTCTTTCTAACACACGTATTGAATGCTCTCTCTCGTATACATGACGACGTCAGTGGTATATGGTTTTCACTGTATATCGGAACATATGTTGTGTTCAAAATCTTTTACAGAACTCATCGTTTGTTATAAAATAACTTACAAGTTATGTAATTATTTTTCTCAGTATGTGTCTCCATCTTGTTATATTAGAAACATATCTCACGTAGAAATATATTTTCTGGGTGATTTACTGCTCGCTTGAGTGGAGAAAATAAAATTGCATTGGATTTCTTACATAATCTTACCTGATATATCTAGCAATATATAATATAGCAAAATTTATTTTGCCCCTCCTCTTATCAAGTTCCATGAGCAAAAGGCGGCTGAGCAAGAAGCCGCTGACTAGAAGAAAAGTGTCGACCAACAGTGCGTTATTGAGGAACGGCGAATTTTCTGCTTTTGTAGACAGCTGAAAAGTAACAAAAGAAGTTTTCTTAGCGCATATCAAACTTTCTTAGCAGTGGTCAAAAAGTACAGGTGTTAGAATATTTTGTAAAGTGGCTGCTAAGCTCAGTCTAACGAAATTTTGCATACTTCCAAGTCTCGAACTACTATTTTCTTTATATGAGTTCAAAACTGCAGACGTATAACACAAATGGAAATGCCGGGAGGCTGTTCAAAGTCTGGAGTTTTCAACGCTCACGTCATGACAAAAATCTTACAAACTGCATCTTGAAATCATTTGCAATCTAATATCTCGAAAATTGTCCTATTCAACCAACTGTATACGACGTTATGTCATCTTCTCACAACTCGTCAGTCCGAATCGGTCATCAGACAACGAGAACGATAAAATTGAAGACAACTTCAGTGAGTCAGTATAAAGACAAGCTGAAGATGGAAACTGTATACAAGGTATTCTTAAAGTTGGAACTCTCCTTTACACGCCTTATAATTATTGTATAAATCAGTCATTCTTTCAGTAACACATACAGCAAACTTTCAAGATAAACGAAGCTATGCACCGGAAAATTCTGCGACATAAAGATACAAAACGCTTGTCAGTACTTAACCCAGGCGGTGCGCGACGTGTAGTTATAAATCGGATTTGAAAAATTGAAAATGGCACATTCCCACAGCAACAAAGAATTTATTAATTTGATGTTAATGCTTAGTTAATTTTCCCGGATGCTTTCATCCCGCGCCGCATAGGTTTCTTATCTTGTACGTACGTCGTTTATAGTAACTTTGAGGTGGGCACAGTAGAAAATCTAGATCGTCCCGAATGAAGCAAGATGAAGACGAAGTTGACAAACTTTTGAATGGAACAGCGATAACTTCGAAGAGTATAGTTAACATGTAATAGGGTCGTACTTCACACTTCCTATCAAACAAACAGTGAAGACTCACCTTCTTTCGTTGTACCACACATTTTTATTACTTCAAGCGTAGTTGTTTCTGAAAAGGAAAGACCCGGCTGTTAGCCAGGTTGTAGTATCGCAACCTCAAGGTGCCGTGCAACGTTAACCGTCAAAGCATTACCGTGGTGGGATGAGTAGCGAACAACTGGGATATTTTAGTGAGTATGAGCCGTTTTACACACAAGAGAATTACTCCGAAAATTATGGTTATAATTATGCCGAAAATTGTTGCTGTCGTATTACACCTAAAAGAATTCTTGTGAAAATTTTCATGGTAAAAATATAAAACCCGTTCTATAGGATATGCGCGAGAATCGGCGCAGAGGATTATTTCCGTGCATGTCATTATCAAAAATGTCAACGTCAACAACATAACCCCACTTAACATTTGTGGTAAGGTCCTGTTCGAGTCGTACTACGAAGAAGCGTTTATTGTTATTGTTTATTCATAATGTCGTGGAATCGGGAAGAAGTTACACTGTTGTTGTAGGAGTACCAAAAATGGGCAAACCTGTTCAATGTGAAGTCACCCAATTACGAAAACAGAAATTTGCGGCGTCAGGCGCTGGATGCGATAGTCCAAGCATTGAGAAGTTTTATAATATTAACCAAGATCTCGATTTCAAAAATAAATTTAAATCAACGACGTCTGTTGTCTTTCCGATTATATTGGACGGCATACCCGTTAAGGTTATGTCCATTCGAAAATATTACTCTAATGCGCAGGCGTATCATATGAATTACTCGGAAATTTTGTTTGCTTGTGTCATACAGGTTGTAGAGAAAATCTTCATATTTTTTCCATGCAAATTTTCGGCTTAATTGTGACCATAATTTTCGGAGTAATTCTCTTGTGTGTAAAACGGCTCCATGTCGCATCATTTCTGAAGAATCTTAGACTTCGGACAGGAAAGGTCATCAAGACAATGCTGTTGAGACTTCCTGTCCGAGAGTGGTTATAAAAGCTGTTCGTAATCAATAATGGCGTCAAGTAGGTTGACTGTCTACTTCTCATGCAACGCCGTCATTAGTTCATAAAAGATTGTAAGTTAGACCGTCTGAGAAAAAAGTAATTACGAAAATGTATAACAGAGAAATTAAGTGGATCAAGTCAGTCAAACAGGCCCGGTAAGAGCGCTTTCAGACGAGGATATTGTAAGCGAGATACAGGTATCTTCGATACTGATATTACATAGAAACAAATTGGACTTTTCACACAGCGCTGACGATGCGTTCAGTATCGCGATACCAAATTTCGCATTGGCGGGACGTTATGCGATGCAGAAGTACAAAGTTTTCGATCGTAATAATTCTGCATGCAGCACACTGTATCTCGCGTTCAGGACCTTCGTCTAAAAGCGCTCTAAAACTGACGATAGGGCAACGTCGCCTCCCCCCGATACCTGACCGCACGACGCGGCAGAGCGGTACAGTGGCAGTATTGCCGGCATACTTGTCAAGACAGGCACGTCTACCGCTAAGCCCAGAAAGCAGAAGCAGGGTCGCGTATCGAAATTATTTCTTTTAAGGACAAATGTACGGGGAGATCTATGATGTGTTCATAAAATTATCCAGGTTAAATATAACGGGTGATTTTTTAAGAGGTATAGGATTTGATTTTCAAAAAAACACAAACATTTGAAAAAACGATTAAATCTTTATTTGAGTCGATAGAACGGTCGATATAATTTAATGTTTAAAGATTATTTCATGTAAATGTTGGCCGCGGCTCCGCTTTAGATGGCCCATGCGCAATTTATTCCTGTAGACATTAGCCTTAACATGGCCCCACAAGAAATAGTCCAACGGCGTTAAATCACACGATCTAGGCGGCCAATTGACGGGCCCCAAACGTGAGATAAACTGTTCACCGAACTCGCCTCTCAATAGGGCCATTGTTTCGTGTTCGGTGTGGCATGTGGCACCGTCTTGTTGAAACCACATGTCAGCCAAGTCCAGCTCTTCCATTTTGGGCAAAAGAAGTTTGTTATCATCGTAGGGTAGCGCTCGCCATTCACAGTTACGTTCCGGCCATTGTCGTCTTTGAAGAAGTACGACCCGATGATGCCACCGGCCCATAATCCACACCAAACAGTGATTTTTTCGGGATGCATTGATAGCTCTTGCAATGCTTCTGGCTGGTCTTCACTCCAGATGCGGCAATTTTGCTTGTTAACGTACCCATTCAACCAGAAATGAGCTTCGTCGCTGAACACAATTTTTCGATAAAAATGTGGATCTTCCTCCAACTTTGCCGGCGCCCATTCACCAAACTGGAAACGTTGTGGGAGGTCGTGTGGCTTCAATTCTTGCACCAGCTGTATCTTGTAAGGTTTTACACCCAAATCTTGTCGCAAAATTTTCCACGTAGTGGAGTAACAGAGGCCCAATTGCTGCGAACGGCGGCGAATCGACATTTCACGGTCATCACTAACACTGGTGGATACAGCCGCAATATTTTCTTCAGTCCTCACTCTACGTCTGCGTGTTGGTGGTTTAATGTCCAATAATGTAAACTGGGTTCGAAATTTAGTCACAAGCTTCCGAATAGCTCCCTCAGTAGGCCGACCAAATTGCCCATAAATTGGAAGCAGTGCTCGATGCACTCTCTTAACCGAGCATGAATTTTGATAGTAAAATTCAATAATTTGCAAGCGTTGTTCGTTCGTAAGTCGATTCATCGTTAAATTATAGACCAAACTGAACAAGTTTGACAATGACACAAGACACGATTCACGCGTCGTCTGTCAAAAACAGTGTTGCCAAAGAGATACTAGCAAAAAAATCACCCATTACATACATCAAAAAATTGAGATGTTCCCTCTCTCACCGCTTACAACCGCAACCCCCGATTTTTAAAAGTTTGTTTGGTTTTTTATGTTTTGTCCTTTGCCCCGTAGCTCCATCGCCACTGGACCAATTTTCAGAAAGTACAAAGCTTTTTGTCCGCGGCGCAGTGGTAACCGGTCCTAGTGTGAAAATTTCATCCAAATCCGAACAGCACTTTCCAAGTTATAGACGGGCCAAGGATTAGCAGAAATACCGACAGATAGACAGACAAACTGACAGAAATCAGCGACATGGTTTTTGGTGGTGTGGATATAATATATAATATAACATCTAAACATCTAAAAAAAAAATATCTCATTTTCGATTTTTTCACGAACACAATACTTTGTCGTCAGTGAGCGTGAGAAGTAAAAGGTGCCGCCGATGTGCCAGCACAGTCTAGTCTGTATTTTACTCAAGATTCTACTCACATCTCTGAAAAATTGTTTATTCGCTACTGGTCCACCGAGCATGAAGATCAGCGAATGTCCGGTGATGATCAGGGTCATGGATATAAACTTGATCCCACAGATACATTCTAGATTCATTTCGTTGGGTTTGGTGTGCAAGAACTTTCCTATGTTTCGAATCAGAGAGAAGCACATGATGACTTCCTTCGGCACGCTAGGTGGTTTGGCTCTCAGGTTGTCGACATTGTATGCTGTGCAATTCTTCCTTTGCTTCAAGTACCACAGGTGGTAGCCCGTCGCTAGCAGGATGAAGATTATGAACACACCCACTATGCATCTGCAAAAAGCGCGTTAATGTATCAATATAATGAAAGGAAGATCTTTTTTATTTGTGGATGATGTATTAATGGGAAAATGTAAGATGGACATTGATTACTATTTTAGTATTTAAGGCCGTAACGGGTGATTTTTTAAGAGGTATAGGATTTGATATTCAAAAAAAAAAACACAAAAAATTTGAAAAAACGATTAAATATTTATTTGAGTCGATAGAACGGTCGATATAATTTAATGTTTAAAGATTATTTCATGTAAATGTTGGCCGCGGCTCCGCTTTAGATGGCCCATGCGCAAGGTCCAATTTTGGCACACCCTCTCCAACATATCGGCCGGTATCTCTCGAATAAATGCTTCAATATTGGCTTCCAGTGCGTCAATCGTTGCTGGTTTATCCCTGTAGACATTAGCCTTAACATGGTCCCACAAGAAATAGTCCAACGGCGTTAAATCACACGATCTAGGCGGCCAATTGACGGGCCCCAAACGTGAGATAAACTGTTCACCGCACTCGCCTCTCAATAGGGCCATTGTTTCGTGTGCGGTGTGGCATGTGGCACCGTCTTGTTGAAACCACATGTCAGTCAAGTCCAGCTCTTCCATTTTGGGCAAAAAAAGTTTGTTATCATCGCACGGTAGCGCTCGCCATTCACAGTTACGTTCCGGCTATTGTCGTCTTTGAAGAAGTACGGCCCGATGATGCCACCGGCCCATAATCCACACCAAACAGTGATTTTTTCGGGATGCATTGATAGCTCTTGCAATGCTTCTGGCTAGTCTTCATTCCAGATGCGGCAATTTTGCTTGTTAACGTACCCATTCAACCAGAAATGAGCTTTGTTGCTGAACACAATTTTTCGATAAAAATGGGTATCTTCCTCCAACTTTGCCAGCGCCCATTCACCAAATGGGAAACGTTGTGGGAGGTCGTGTGGCTTCAATTCTTGCACCAGCTGTATCTTATAAGGTTTTACACCCAAATCCTGTCGCAAAATTTTCCACGTAGTGGAGTAACAGACCAAACTGAATAAGTTTGACAATGACACAAGACACGATTCAAGCGTCATCTGTGAAAAACAGTGTTGCCAAAAAGATACTAGCAAAAAAAATCACCCATTATTTTGGAAGAAACGATTAATTACGTATTACGTTGCAGACATCTATACCTAAGTACAAGCTTCTATTTAACTTGGCCTGTTTGTTAGTATGCTAGAATTAGTAAGAATATTTCTCGCTCGCAATGGAATATTCTGTATATCTGAGTCACTGACGTAACGGAATGGAAAGAATTTTGAAAATTTATTTATGCAGCCATATTTAAGTTTATGAAGGCCATTTTTTTTTTGAAATAATTTATTTAAACACAATAATACAAAAAGTATAACCAGTTTTAACAATAATTCCCTAATCAGTGTTTGCAAACACTGGCCCCGAGAATAACAAGACAATAATTAATATCTATGAACTACAGGTACACTGCAATGTTGCTCATAATTTCAACAAATAAATTCATTAACATTTTTACAATCTTTCAATTCTCCAACAAAACTTCTATAGTTATTTGAATCTTTTATACAATGAGGTAAATTATTAAATTTCTTAATTGCGTCTGTGATCGGATTTTTTAAACCTATGTTAGTTCTTGTGGAAATTTGATAAACATTATTTAGTGATCTTGTTTGGTGATCATGCACGTTATGGTAGAACCTAATATTTATGTTACTTTTTAGTAGATTATTTATAATTTTATAAACAAGTTTACATTGTTCCACCTCCAATAACACTCTTAAATTGTTTAAATTTAAATTTGAATAAAGTGTATTAGAACTTGTAAGCCAATCAAAATTAAACAATATTTTCAGAACTTTATTTTGTAAAACTTGAGCTTTATTAAAATTAACTTCACCGCACATACCCCATACTGGCAAGAGGTACCTAAAATGTGTAAGAAAGAAGGCATTATAAATTTGAAATTTGCTTTTGTTGGACAAATAATCTCGACTCTTATATAAGGCAGATAGCATTGAAACTATTTTATCACAAATTCCATTTACGTGAAGTGACCAATTTAAACTTTCATCTATCAGTAATCCCAAATATTTAATACTTGACACTTGTTCTAGCGCTATATTATTTATGTTAATATTTAGATTATTGCTAACTATCTTATTTTTTGTTTGAATATAATGTATTTTGTTTTTTCAATGTTAATTTTTAATCTATTCGAAAACAGCAATTTAAGATAACTATTCAGGTCATCATTAATAAGATTCGTTAAAGCAATTTCGTCTGTTCCAGTATATACCAGTACAGTGTCATCTGCAAAGGTAAAATATCTTCCCCTCAGATTGGCCAACTTGAGATTCAGTACATAAAGACTGTATAACAGAGGTCCAAGAACTGACCCCTGTGGTACTCCATAGGTGCTAGATAACCATTCACTATCAATGTCTCCAAGCTTTATGTACTGTTTTCTGTCATATAAATAAGACTTAATCAAGCTGTACGAAACACCTCTAAATCCCATTTTAAACAATTTATCTAAAAGAATGTCTACGCTTACTACGTCAAAAGCTTTTTTTAGGTCAATGAAAACAGCTACAACTATTTGTTGTTTATCTAGAGCCATTGAAATGTAGTCCACAAAATCAACAACCGCACTAAGTGTGCTACTGTTCGTTATAAAACCATATTGAAATTCATCAATCAATATATTGTGAGTAACAATGAAAGATAACATTCTTTTTTTTATTAATTTTCTATAATCTTAGAGAATACACACACCACTGAAATAGGCCTGTAATTGTTCATACATTTAATATCTCCCGCCTTAAAAAGTGGGGTTATTTAATTATTTTCAATTCTGATGGAAATATTCCTTTTTGTATAGTTTCATTGATTAATCGTACTAAAACAGGTATTAAGTATTCTCCAAGATTATTTATATGTACATCCTTAACCGTGATACCGTCATATCCAGGTGCTGAGTTTATTTTTAGTTCTTTCACAACTTCCAACAACTCTTCTTTATGTTATCGAAATAGAATCTTCGTTGTGAACCTCACCAACAGAAATAAACTCATTCAACTGCTGAATCTCTGCTTCCAAATTTTCAACAATTGATCCACCGACCCGAGAAAAGTATTTATTTAAATTGTTTGCAATATCAAGTTGAGTGTTAATAATGTTATTTTCAGTTACTAGTTGATCAATTCTTACTTTATACTCCTTATTTTTTATTAGGCTGTTTATAAAAGCCCATTGTTTCTTTACATTGTTTCCAGCTAAGCTCCATTTAGTTTGGAAATAACGGTTCTTCAAAGCACGTATTTTATTGTTTATTTTATTTTTGATGTTTTTAAATTCAGAGATGATAGTTAAGCCTTCTGGTTGGTTAATCTTTCTTTTATATAATTTATCTCTTTTTTTGATAAGCTCAAGGACTTCATTATTTATCCAGGTGTTATTTGTACGTATTCTTAATTTTTTTATATATTCCGATTTACTTTTGCAGTCTTCATTTAAATTAATTAATTCTTGAAAAGTTGTTACATTTTTGCTTAAAATTGTTTGTCTAAATAAGTTTACACATTTTTTATAATCTACAGATTTTACCTCATAATCAACTTTTGGTTTATGGAACTGCACAGATGTTTTAATATCAAGTAATATAAGTTTATGATCCGAAATTGCATTTTCTTTAACACTGACTCTACAACTTACATTACTACCATAATCGCTAAGAACATGGTCTATAACAGATTTTGACGAACTGCTAACTCTAGTAGCACACTCCTCATTTATCGTATTATTAATTTTAAAACTGTTTAATGCTATTAAATCTTTGTACTCCTTGGCTACATGTGAGACTTCTAGCAAATTAATATTCATACCCCCAACAATTAAATGATTTTTAGGATGAGTACGCATAATAGATTCCAAACAATGAAAAAAATTTTTACTATTTACAGATGGTGGTTTATATATAACACTAATTTTTAAGTTTTGTTCCCCTAAGCTAATACATATCCAGTTTATTAACTCACATCTGTTTGACTTCTCAATTTCACGAAATTTAATAGATTTCCTCACATAGATAGACACACCACCTCCTCTACCAGCCCTGCAGGAATGAACAGCATTATAGCCATCCAACTCAAACAAGAATGTTTCACTTTCTTCCAACCATGTTTCAGCCGCCAACAGTATATCCCAATCTTCATTTATACCAAACATGTGCTTAACGTAGGCTTGATGTAATTATTCTTTTCGAAACAATTGTAAGATATGCTTTTTATTATATTTTTGATGTACTTATAGTTCAACGTTGCGTCAGTGGTGTATCACCAATACTTTGATTAAATTAATGTTCTGTGGGATTCAGTATGTATATTGTATAATGTATACCTACATAGTAAGTGGAGCCTCCTATTAGTGCACACTTTGTAGCATTTCAAATTATCCTAGTTTGTTTAAAGTGATTTTATTTATATATTTATATATGTAAATAAGTTGAATGTGTGAGAATGGGATAGTGGAATACTATTCTAGTATTAGCAATAAAAGCAGAATTTTTGTACTCTTGCTCTTGCTGACTTTACTTGTTTTGGGATTTCAAAATAAATTGCACATTAACATTGCCACTTTTTCTCCTTTACAAGATGGAATAATTACAATTTCAACATGACGTTTTGTCTCTTGCCTCCAGCACCAATTTTATTCTTTTCTCATGGACGCCATATTAGATGTTTGCGCAGATGAATACAGTTTTTAATTCTGATTCCAAAAATGTATCATACGTGATACATTGACATTGCCAAACCTTAGCAATTTTAAAAATGCAGAATTTCCTAGGGATACCTTGAAATAATTAGATAGTCATTTGTTTCGCTTACCAGATGTATCTCATTATCGCTTTTATTTTTTCCTGAAATTATTTGAGATGGGATTCCAAAATAAATTGCATTTTAACAGTGCCACTTTTTCTCCTCTACAAGTTGGCATAATTAGAATTTCAATATGACGTTTTGTTTCTCGTCATTTTAATTTAATTTTTCTTATGGACGCCATGTTGGATTTTTTCGCAGATGAATAGTATTTTTAATTATTGTTTCAAAAGTATATAATACGTCATACATTGACATTGCCAAACCTTAGTTGTTCCAGAAAAACAGAAGTTCTCAGGTAGGCCTTGAAATTATCAGATTTTATTTATTTTGTATACCAGACCAGACCTAAAATTGGACAAAGCAACAGAGTCTTGAAGACTGAGAGGAAGAGAAATAAATTGAGCAATGTACAGAGAAGAGCCATAGCTTTCCCAACAAAATGACTTTTGGGATATCTGCTATTATTTACCTCTGCTTATTTATGAGTATTATTGTTATTACCGTCAACAAGAGTCATTTTGTGTTCAGGTTTCACCATACCTTTCTGTTTCCTTATAATTTTCATCCAACTCCAAATTCATGGCCAACTAATACATCACTGAATTCAGAACTGAAAAGTGAATGTACAAAATTCCAACATAACATCCATGTGAAAAAACAAAGTTGGTGGTGGAAGTCGAAAGAGGAAATGTCGAATTGAAAATTTTACTAGGCCATCTTGTAAAGGAGAATAAGTAACAATGACAGCCTGCAATTTATTTTGAAATCCCATTTCTAATAAGGCTAGGAAAAAGTAAAAATGATTTTGAGATAAATCTGCTATACGAAACAAATAACTATCTGCGTCTCCCAGGAAATTTCGAAACTTTCTAAGCGGCGTTTTGTTGATTACCTACTTACGCAATTATAGAATGCCTGTATTATTGGGTCCAATTGGAGATAAAAAAGGACCGTACCTTGCACATCCGAGTTTTAACTTTCTTCGCCCTTGTTGTTTCCCTACTTGAGGCAAAGCTAGTTCTTAATTGGTTGACAGATTGACTCGGTTAATTTTTTTTAATTCTTGTTTTAGGAGGGGAAATAGCATTTCGGCCACGTTTTGGTAAGTAAAGGATCCATTTAATTAACTGTTATGGTGACTAATAATTTGTTAGGCATTTTATTATTTTAGATAAATTTTACCTACGGCTGGCTGAATGTGGACACAAAAATAAATAGCTTTAAATATCATCAGACACACGTTGTTGAAGTCGTTACTTGCCAACAAATGAATACGGACTGTTGTAGTCGTAAAAATGTGAAACTTAATGCTTGAAAAACCTACTCATATTTCATAAGGTACAATTTACCTGGTCGGGCATTATTTTAGTAATACTAATTAGCAACCATCTATCAGAGAACATAAACCATGTACAAAACCCAGATATGCGCTCCAGAAATTACATTAATATACTTAATTCTTCGTATTTTTTTTCCCTGAGAAAACGATAGCATTTTACTTCGAAAATACGTTTGGTAATAAACCCATGCACATTACTGAAATATGGTAATACGCTGATATGCGTATTTTATATTTACGAAATTTACATACCACTTATATATTTACCATAATATTTACATTCTAAAATAGTAGTTCAACTTACCCATAAACAATTTCTGCCTTTGACAAAGGCTGCGGTTTTTCATAGTAGCATTTGTTATCGTCTATGGTGACGTTAACGATTTCAAAATGTTCGGCTGTGGCAGCGAAAATTTCTTTGGTGAAGATTTTGGCATCTTCTGAGGTGCAGGAAGACGGAAGACATATACCCCAGTGGATAACTGTTCGGTTGTATGCATATCGGTCCTGTAAAGAAAATATCTCTAGATTAATGATTTGAGTGTGTTATAGAGGCATTCAGACGAGGCGAAAGCATCGCATTCGTGGGAGAAATTTTCGATTTGTTTTCCAGCAATCACATTTTTTGGATTCCCGTTAATATAAAAAGAGGTCGGCAGGTGGTAACCCGGTACAAACTTATTTAAAATATGACTTAAATTGTAAAAAAAATTCGCTCCAAGCAATTCTCTTTGCGTTTTTTAGTCCATTTAAACAAATGAGTTCCTTAATAACCGTTCTCTGCAGTTGACCGTATTCGAGTTATAAGTCTGAATGCCTCTAAAAACTGCCATTTTCAAGCTTAACCGTGGAGCATTATTATATTTTTGAGGTTGTCAAATGTCTGAACTACAGTTTGCAACGTTTGCAGTAAAATAAAGTCTATTTTTAAGTATCGTTATTTAACTGTCAATAAAGCGCGATGGACCATGCGCGTGTCCTAGCATAGGGAATGTTCCGTACATCTTAGAATACGGAAAAGGTGTACCACTTACATCTTAAAATTATAATTTCATATAAGGAGTTTATCAGGAATGATACGAGCCTTCAAATCCGAATATCACTAACCACTTTCTTGCTTTTTTTTTCTACGTTACAAACGTTGATCCTAAAGGCGGTTTTCCGCTAAACGGACAGTCGAGTTTATGTTGTGTTTGTATTTTCAAAAATCTAAAAAGAAAAACAAGACTGAAACAAACTCAAAACTCTTGTTTCCATCTAGCTGCCTACATTTTCTTCGAGTTTTGTTTTTGAATTCGGTCCTTTTTCACTGGTTGCGCGAGAAAGACAAAGCACAGTTTTTCTTCAATATCCAACCAACGTGCTTTAAGAAGAAGCTTTTTTATTCTTAGTTAAGGCTGGTTGATACTGCAGCCCCCTGGGCGGGGGTGACACCAACCCTAAAATCTTAAATGGAAATTGGGGTCGAGTGATACCTTCCCTTTATAATGATGTAAAATACATAATAAATACAGCTTCAGTTCAGTAGTTTTGAAGATTTATTGATTTAAAGCTTAAAGTAGACTTTAATAGGTACATCAGATTAGTTTGTACTACTTTCAGAAAAAATTTGACTAAAAGAATTTACTTAATAGGTAAATGCTTTTCTTAACTACGCCCAGGGTTTGTATATACTAAGTGACATATAAATCCGTAAAAGCACTTAATGAAGCATAATAAGTAAATGATAAAAATTTCAAAATGATTGCACTGCTTTAAAGCCCTTTGACCTTTAATAATGTGTGGATGCACCCTGATGTGCTACGCATTCTCCAACGCGCCTAGGCATGCTTCTGATGAGGTGGTCAATGTCCTCCTGTGGTATCTCATTCCAGGCAACCACCAACTCCTCTCGAAGTGCTTCTAGAGTCTGAGGAGGACGTTGCAAATTGAGCAATCTCCTACCCATCATATCCCACACGTGCTCAATTGGGGATAGGTCGGGAGATCTTGGTAGCCATGGTAACAATGTGACATCATTATGTTGAAAGAAGTCTATTGTGACTCTTGCAACATGTGGTCGGGCATTATCTTGTTGGAAAGTTGGATCTGCCAGGGTGTCAAGATAGGGTAAAAGATGGGGTTCTAGAACTTCGTGGATATAACGCTGCGCGTTCATGTTACCTCTGATGAAGATTAAAGGTGACCTGGAACCATAAGCTACAGCACCCCAAACCATAACTCCAACAGTGTGATGAACATGTCTTTCAACAAAAAACTGTGGATTCCTCCTTTCACCACGTCACCTTCTAACCGTGGCACAATACTGTTCCATTCCTGATCCCAGAGTGACCGTTGTCTGCACCACTCAAGGCGATTGCGTCGGTGTTCTCGAGTTAAAGGGAGGACCCAGTGTGGCCGGTATGAAAACAAGCCAAAACTTCTCATTCGTCGCTAAACACTTCGCATGCCAATAGGTCTTCCGTGTTCTGCAAACTATTCATTTGCAATGGACCTGGTAGTGGAGAAACGGTCCCTTAAGGCCAATAATCTTAGGCGGCGATCTTCACGGTCTGTTGTTCTATGGCGGCGTCCAGTGCCCCTTGCTCTTTGCGTACGGCCTTCTCGAAGCCATTCCTGACAACACCTAACCACAGTGTCTACACTTCTTTGCACTCTAACTGCAATTGCCCGAAAAGAAAGTCCAGCTTTCCGAAGTCCCACTATACGGCCCCTATCAAACTCACTAAGTTGACGAAATCGTACAGTGTCCGTACTCTAGGCATCGTAACCGATCGTAAAGGATGTCAAGAACCAAAATCCGCCAACGTTGATTCTTTACTGCGGCAGAAATATTCATTTTTAGAGCGATAGTGAATTAAAAAAAAGCAGTATAAAAACCGGAATGTCCAACTGATAAGGCTGAAAATTTTTTCAATTGTTATTTACAGTAAGATAAATACCTTCACCAACTTTTATTAAAATAAAACCATTTAAACTGGGTGTTCGGATTTATATGTCACTTAGTATATCATTTTGTTGTTGAAAATAGCTATTGCCGCGTTTTTTGTGGCAAAAAAGTTATTTCTTGAAGAAAGATAAGGAAATATCTCGTACTTATTTTAAATAGGAATTTAGTACTTATTTTGCGATTGATTTGACCGAATTTTGTTGCTAAAATAACTTGTAACGCTTTATTACATAAATTAACCATGGTATATTCCACAGCAGAAAGAGTTGAAATTACCGAAATATTTTTCGGAATTAATCAGTGCGCTAATGGAACAGCAGAAATATTTAATGAGCGACATGAGAACAGTTACGTGCATCGAAAATGTGTTCTAGAACTTGTACCTAAATTTCGGGAAACTGGGTCACTCGCCAATAAAAAACGCAACATTGTAAATCCCATAAGGAACGAAGCAATAGATGTGGGGGTTTGAGGGAAAGTTTATGTAGATCCTACGTTAAGTACCCGCAAATTGGAGACTGTGTGTGGTGTTAGTCGACGTACTGTGCAAAGGATTCTAAAGGCCCATAGTTTTCTTCCGTATAAAATTCACCTGGTACAAGAATTTAGTGAAGACGATTTTGATCGGCGATTACAATTTTGTGATGATATGAGTGAACGAATTATAAACGATGGATATTTTCTATTCAACACTTGCTTTTCCGACGAATGTTCCTTTTCTTAAATGGCGTAGTAACTGCCGATATTGGTCCGATTCTAATCCCAGAATTTATCATGAGGTTCATACACAGCAGCCACAAAAATTAAATGTTTGGGCTGGTATTTTTGGCGATCATTTAGTTGGTCCTTTTTTCTAACCTGGAAATTTGACTGGTGGAATGTATTTGGAATTACTGGAAGATGCCATAGATCCTGCATTAACAGCCATAATTGAAAATCAGAATGATCGGCGGTACATTGCGAATAGGTTGATGTGTTCCAACAGGATGGTGCCCCACCACATTACGCATTACGTGTTCGACAATATTTAGATCAGACGTTTCCAGATCGATGGATTGGTAGAAGAGGTGCCATTGAATGGCCCCCAAGATTGCCAGATTTATCACCTTTGGATTTCTTTATGTCGGGTTATTTAAAAAGCAAAATCTATGCTACTCAGCCAACATCATTAGAAGACCTGCGACAAAGAGTTGTGAATGTATGCCTTCAAATTACTCCTCAAATATTACAAAATGTGCGGCAACGTTTTGAGCAAAATCTTTATTATTGCATGGAGAGTCATGGTGGCCATTTTCAACATTTACTTGCCTAACGGGTCAGTTCATTCTTCATTTTTAAATTACTTTGCTACCAAATGTATTGATCTCCACTAATGATGATGTATTAGTTTTATTTAAGCTTTAAATCAATAAATCTTCAAAACCACTGAACTGAAGTACATTAATTTTATATCATTATAAAGGGAATTGAAAGATCCTTAAAATAAGGTATCAGTGGACCTCCCTTTCCATTTAAGATTTTGGGGGTGGTGTCACCTCCGCTTACGGGGCTGCACGTGCTAACGTAATTTTTTGCCAAACTTGTGTCCCCCCTCGAAAATAAAATAGACGGGTCTGAGTGTTTTTCCAAAAAAAAACTGAGCTGCCAGTGAATGCGTCTGTTTCGTTTTCGATGCGCCACCTTGTATATATATATAGAGAGAGAGAGAGAGAGAGAAAATGATCATGCGGAGAAAGGTATATAACAAAAAGTAGGAAAATAATGGGCAAAATCTGCAGGAAGAAGGAAAGTAGATTCGAGGAGAAAATAGGATAGCTAATCCGAGCAATACGTATTCCTGCTTGTTGGCTTCATCAGGCCTGAAATGAAAAAAATGACACACGAATTCCCAAACAAGAGCCAATCTACACATTGCAGTATAAAATGGCTGGAAGAGGAAATGATCATGCGGAGAAAACTATATAACAAAAAATAGGGAAATAATGGGCAAAATCTGCAAAAAGAAGGAAAGTGGATTCGAGCAGGAAATACTATAGTCTAGGTCCCCAGAGCAATGCGTATTTTAGCGTGTTGGCTCCATCTGGTCCGAAATGATATGCACATTTGCAACCACAAAAATAGATACAGATGCCCATACATCCGGATACGGGTGTAACCCGAGGAAACGAAAATCACACGAAGTCCCCAACAAGAGAATGTCTCCGTCTGATTTTGACTAGCTAATTACATTAATTGGCAGAATATTTGCAAAGTTAAACACAAAGCTTAGAGATTAAATAATTGATCGATTAGCAATAACACTGAGTTTCCTTGCTACTGGGCACAGTTACCAAAGCCTATTGTACGAGTACTTATCAATGTGTTCAGCGTTTCGAAACTAATTTCTCATCTATTAAAAAATGCGTTATTTACTTATCTACTAATTTGTTACAAAATTCGTATTTAAACTTGCAAGGCGAATTAGAAAACACAACACGACTGTTTTCACTAAACAGACTCGAGTTTCAAACCGCTCCGAACCATTTTGATGTGACCGCTTCTGAGCGGTACACTGAAAACAAAACTTCAACTGTCGCCAAATACACCAGTCTTCAGAAAGTCTGCGAAAAGTTACAGTATTGTTTTATTCGACACAGGTTTGTGTATTGTTTTTGTTTCGTCCGTTTAGTGGAAAACCGCCATAAGGTCTGATCTCATTCGCGTATTTTGTGAGTGTCTTTCAGACGACCGGAGAAGAACTCGTTTTCGACCTACCTAGTGCCACGGGTATAGCCACCGGTGTGCTCAGATGGCCCAGACAGTAGAATTTATGTCTTACAAGTTTTTTTTTTTGCAAGAGAGAGATGCGGCTTCAATGGTAGTAACCGATAATAGAGTTAGCATTTTTCATAACCATTTTGGTTTGTATAACGGGCTAGTAAAAGAAAGGCAAGACTTAAATAAACGTTATACTGGTTAGATATGGTTGCACCTAGCTGCTACGTACTAGCGCTGCGTTAAGTATGGTCAGTGTCAGTCAACAAATAGTCTAATCATATTAGCAAATGTTGATATTAGTCGGATCTTTTTACGTATGATCTCGTTTTGTAGGTCTCATGAATATCTAAAAATTTTATATCAAGAGTTTTTTCGTTCCTGCCAACACTTTCGATTGAATCTCAAAAAACACGTATTCTCATTCTTTGTTGTCGAATAAAAAGTTTTCCCACAAAAATTGGCGTACCCATTTTATGCGTTCATGTTTTCAATACAGCTTGCAGCAATAAAACCAGACTTTACAATTATTTCGCAAACTAGGGGTATTTTTGTCTAATATGATTAGACTACAATATCAAATTGCGTGTCAAATACTGAAAGAACCTTAAATACTGATCTTGTCATTTGCCTTCCAAAGGTTTCCAAAATTTTCATAGCGTTCCATTCAGATAAGGCGGTATCTATTAATTGCGTGAGGCTTTTTAATTAACAAAAAAAAATTGCTTTATTATTTTTATTTAAGACTAGTTAAGAATATTTATTCTAATCCAATCCGTGGAGACTGATCCATGGTTTCAATAGTAGCTATTGGATCCAACATATCCGTATGATTTCCGTGCAGTTTCATACTATTTCTTGTGGGAAATTACGTAATACTTGCCTACGCCTCCCTACCCTCTTCCTAACGTGAGATTCCACTCGAACTCCTCCCTGGCCCCCGAGCATCTAACCAAATTATTGAACGTCTCCTAACATCTAACAGACTAGGATAAGCCATTCTTCCCGCAATGCTAGGTAGTATCTGCTAGGTGGAACTAAACGTAACCATGTTTGGTATCTTGTAATATCTATATTTTTACATGAATTAAAAAAATATCGTCAAGTAGGTGAACTCTGAGAAAAGTCAGCGCGGTCAGAGCATAGGACACAATAGGCTGAGGCGTGGCAGAAATACACGAAATACCAGAATACTCACCAAGGTCGGCTGCACGCGGCCGGGAGCGGCAGCCACGATCAGTAGGCACGAGACCCATCTGCTGAGAATATCTTTCTTTTTTTAGGAGCTAATGTACCGCGGAATCGATGATGAGTGAAATATGTCTAATAGGTGCGTATAATTACCAAGGTTGGGAGCGTGTAAATGTAAAACGTAAAAAAACTGAGATAAACTCTCGCCACCCCTATACAAGCCCCGCCCCAAAGTTTTTTACCTCTAAAATTGTTTTCAATAATGAATAGGATCCTCTGAAACATAAAAAATAAAGTTTGAGCCATTTTTATTCTTTATCGTTTTTTTCTTTTTCTCTCTGCCGCCGCGGGACCGATTATCAAAAACTATAAAGCTTTTGCGTCCTTGGCATAATAGTAATTTTCAAGCAGCGTGAGACTTTCAAGCTGTCAAAATAATTGAATAGTTACAATCAACAACAATAATTCCATTTATCAAATAGACTCTGTATTTACTTGTGGTAAGCAACAATTATACTTAATATTCAAAAATGGATAAAGCACTCAATAACAGTGTGTTAATTCTGCAACCAATAAGCCAAAGAAGCGCTACATGAATGAATGAATCATTTACCTAGGGTTTATGTCACTATCATTATTTTCCTAAGGAGACCTTCCCCTTATAGGAATGCGATAATTAATGGCGATTTCTCAAGTTTGTATACTAAAAAACGTGCTTTACTGAAATATTCAAAGTTGCATTTCTAACTTCTAACAGAATTTGCATCCTTCAACTAGGAATAGAGAGATCGCGATGCGTGGAAGCCATGTGACATATCTTTTCGATGTATCAATTGTTTCAACTGTAATGCCCTTAGATATTGTTTAAAACAATTTTTCTAAAATCACTCTAAACGTTGGTGTCTAATGACTTAAACTGATTCTATATTCAAAATCCTTTTCAACTGGTTAACAAAATCTAGAAGTTCGTTGGCGTTTATATTTTACCGATCATTTGTCAAATCTCAATACCGCAACACAAAACATAAATTGGATGCGTGACAGCCAGTTATAGCCTGCTTATCGCCAATAAACACAAATATCACCACAATCTCTTCCTGCAACGCATTAATTTCGCACCAACTCACCTTGTTCCGGACAGATCTCAACATCCGGTCAGTGACCGTAGCCTTGTTTTTAGCACGGAAGTGGATATCTGTCAGGCAGTACTGACCCTGTATGGTGGTTTCAGTGTCGTTCTCTTCGTCTTTGATGGTGCCTAGCGCACCCACACATTCATCGAAGTTGCCCAGTTCGTAGTAGTTGCCGTAGAGGATGCCAGTGGGGAATTTCGCAAATGAGTCGAACACTGAAAATAACATCAAAGATCATGATTAGTATTCGATTAACACTCACATTCAATCTGTAATGTGTGGATATATCGTAGCCAAGTAGCCTAATTAGTCGTTCAATTGACAACTTGAGAGGTGTTCTCGAATCTCTCAATTTTTGTGCTTCTTGTCTTCGTTTGTCACTGTGCTGTCACTTTTGTATAGTTAATTTCAAGACGGGTGTTGAAAAATGGCGAAGAAGAATGAAAGTATTTAGAAGGAAACTACTTTGTCACCTGCCATTCATAATATCCAAAAAACATATCTCACTTTTGAAATTCTTCGCGATTGCAATACTTCCTCGCCAGTGGCATATGAAGTAAAACAGATGATATCTGACCTTTGAAGTTGTTTATTTGAGTAATCTAAAATATAATAAATTCGTTTTCCTCCAAAGTTCATCTCTGATCCACCCTCTGCTATTCCACGGACTCTGAAAACCAGATCGAGGGGTGTTTTCAACATTTTCTCTGACGGATCCAAGGAAACTGAAGGGGCTAATTGGGGAGTATACTCTAGTAGCCTCCGTATGAATTACAAGTGGTCTATGGACAAACATGCCAGCGTGACGCATGTCCAATTAGCTACAAGGGAAGCTGCCTATAGAAAGGTTAGAGGCAAAAATATTAGGATCTGCACGGACAGCAGACAAGCTGATTCTATGACTTTAGGCAGGCACTGATCCATGTACCACTTAGCTGTGACTGTCTTATGTGTGTCCAAAACAACACGCTTCACAATCCCGCTCGATTTGAAAAATACAGATATCATTTTTTTCTTAACAGATCGGGATTTTCTGACAGCTGCGGGTGTGTCGTCATCAAAGACACAAACATTGTTTTGAGCCTTGGTCGGTCCATCGTAATAATAGAGGCAAGTCTCACCACCTGACATGATGTTGTTCATATACCGGGATTGCCCCTTATCAAACATTTTCAGCATCTTTCGGCACCAAGTCTTTCGACAAGTCTTCTGCTCTTCCGTCAGACTATGCGGTACCCAGAGAGGACAAAGTTTCCTTACGTGTAAAAGGTGAAGCAGAATTGAATGAATTGCTGGTGCATTATTGTGTAAGGTCTCCTCTATCTGTTGGTATGCCACTATCTGGTCTTCGCGAAGCATTTTTCTCACAACAGCAATGTTTTCCTCGGACTTTCTTCCCTCTCAGCGACCTTCAGAGTGAAATTGCTCAGTTGGAATTCTCTGTACCACTTGAATATAGCCGTACGATGAGGACAATCATGCTTTAATAGTGAATGAGACTTTGGATACGTAGCTATTTTGAAATGCTGAATGAAAATATGACCATTAACAATTTGTGAGATGTCACTGGGCTGAGATTTAGGTGAAACATGAATCGTTCAACTCTACTCGTTGGTGCCTAGCGTCGAATTCGGAACGATTTTCCTGAAAATGATCAGGATCTCCTGAAACTTCAAAAAAAAAACGAAGTTTCAGCGACTTTCAAAAATTATAAAGCTTTTGTGTGCTCAGCATCGTAGTAACCTTGTGTGAAAATTTTATCAGAATCTGAGAGATACTTCCCAAGTTATAGACGAGCCAAGGATAAGAGGACAGACAGACACACAGACGGATAGACCCACAGACTGACGGATTTGAGTGCACATCTGTGGCGTAGGACGTAAAAACAAAAAACTAAAATTATATGAATTTGTAAGGCTAGATTTTTATTCTCATACCTTGTCGGAGTGCTCGTTCCACATGTTGGAGGTCGGTACTAATGTTGGATCAAACATGTGAAACTGGCTTTAGATAATTCATCGAAATTGACCTTTAATATAAAATACGATGAATCCTGTGGATCCAATGGTATATACCCTCTATTCTACTGATTTGTATTCACTGGGCATTGAGGACGTTGGATATGATAAGGATGTAATATAAATTCTGAGTAAGTACAATCGTTAACGTGCAACTGAAATTCAAAATCGCAAAAACACACAAATAAACATAATAGGAAACTGATTAGTGTTATTAAGTAAAGACCAAAAACAATATCAAGGTGAGGATTGAATAGGTTTTGAAAACACTTGACATATATCTAATGATTTCAACCAAAATTTTATTATGTAATATGACGGTGCATCATCCCCATAGACTGCAACCATTCTCTCAAGAATTGTTGTCGGCTGATGGCTTTTTTCGTCAGAAATTTTATGACTATCTAATATTCCAATTTTAGTAACACACATTTCACTTAAATTGGAATCTGACTATCAAAATCAACTGAAATTTTTCTAGTAAGCCTGGAGCACGTGCCGATATTTGACGTATTATGCTTGTGCGTTTCAATTGTTTTATTTATGACTAGGTAGATTTTTACTAGTGTCTCTAGTAGTAACATAAGCTCACAATTAATGAAAAATAACAAATATCGAATTTTTTTTAGAGTTGCAAAATTCCGAAGTTTTTATTTAGATTCGAGAAAATGTATCAATATCAAGTTTTCAAAATTTTTTGATATCTGATATATCAACTAGTTACACTTGTTAGCTGTCACATAGTTAATTAAATTTCCTAATTGGCATTATTAAAGTTTCGATTGATTTAATTACTTTTTTTCTCAGTGAAGTTATCGGAATTGCTGCGTTTAATTAAATTTCCTAATTGGCATTATTAAAGTTTCGATTGATTTAATTATTTATTTTTTTCAGTGAGGTCATCGGAATTGCTGCGTTAGTAAATAATATCGACCTTTAATTTCATACGTATTCTAGTATACAATTTTAGATTCCTTATATGTTATGAACAATACATATACATATAACAAATAAGACAGTTTATGCATGTTGGTATTTGACTTCATTAAAATATTCCAATAACAAAATACTCTTATTATAAATTATTCTACAGGAAACAAGAAGTTGAATACAAATATAACAGGATGAAATTCCCACAGACAATAAAAGTTAATGTATCCAACTGAGAAACCAGTCGTTCACATATTATAAAAGCTGATCTTCAAGTTAGATAATAGGCAAAAAAAATTTTATTGCCATAAAAATTTCCAAATTTCGAGGAATGTTACCTGCTACATCCTCGTTTATTTTGCAGAGAGTTCAACCGTTATTTGTGAACCTGAACTAAGATCTAACTAATTCAGGGCCATTTAAAGGTTAGATTGTTTTAAAGAAGCTTGATCAGACAGTCAATTTTTTATATTGGTCCTGATGATTCATTCGGAAGGAAAAAATATATGATACTTGAACTGGATTTTTAATTCCAAAAATGTTTCACATCCAAAGAAACAGACTAATCAGAGAGCTTTAAATTACATACCGAAAGTACTAACAGCTTACTGGAGGTTTTAATATTTGGTTTTTTGCCTCAACTGGACTAGCGAAATTTAAAAATCACCTTCCTTGAGTGTCGATAGTTTTGAGCAGCTTAGTCAAAACTGCAAATGCTACATTTTTTTCGAATGATGTTACAATTACATTTTATAAAATATTTGATGTTAGATAAACTGGATGGTATATTCGAATCAGTATCTAAAATTGCGATGTTTGTTTCGAAAATTGTCTTGTTGTCAAAAATCCTCCAGGGAGGTTTGCTTGTACAAATCCTTTCTCGAGAGGTCCTTATCACCCTTAAGCTTAAAATCGTAGGAGTTACGATTTAGTATAAAGGTCCTATTTGCTGTCCTTTGTATCTGATCTAAGGTGGCTAAATAACCTATTCTTTTCTGGTGATGTATATTTTTGAAGTAAATGCCATGCTCCGTACAAGGTAAAAAGCTTACTGAATGTTAAAGGTTGGTCTCCCATAAACAATTGTTGATTATCATTGCACCATGTACCCAAAAGAATGATTTTATCCGTGCGATTTTGTGTACATCGGCATGGATGACTTGGTAGCTAATTAATAGCATCTTGACGTAATAAACCTGAACAAAGCTTCGCCGTCGCTCAGCTCGGAAAGTAAAGTCAAAAAGGACCTCCGAATTAGCGGGTCACAAATTTTGAAACGCAGTATATTTCACTGTATTTTGTTGATACTCCTTCTCAGTTACACTAGCTATACACGATATTCCTTAATGATGTGCTTCCTCAGGATATCATTCCTCAAAAAATTTCATAAGGAAAAGTTCATAAGGCTTAAATATGTATAGTCTTCTAGTTCCACTTATTATAAGAGGGGATAAATGATATATGGTAGTAAAAAATTGTTTTTTGCGCCACCAGTGGCGTTCCTGCTACATGTGATATCTTACAAAGGAATTGTTACGCTACTGTTATTTTCCAGTGTGATCATCTACAAATAAAGACTATTGATATTTTCTCTTTTGATGCACCGATTTGACTAAAACAACAAAGTGGCAACTGCTTCTTTTAAAACTGTTAACGAAAAATAACCTTTCAGAACAAAGTTAACCTGGATAATGTTTGCAGGGGCGTTAGAGGCGCGATAGAATAACTTTTCATTCTAATATACTCGTATATCATTAATTTTACATCCTCAGATAATATGCTAAAATTAAAAATAATAGTACATTCGGAAAAAAATATATATACGCGGAAAATTCAACATCTATTGCAGACGTATGTTCATATAAACTTTCCTTGGCGAAACTGTCTGCTGAAAAATATCTTGAAATATTACGTCATGTTCCAAATTCGACCCTCGAAATTGGGATCTAGGAAACTGTAAGAGATGCGAAGTTGCTTAAAAGGCATCAAAGTGGTGTATTTAGGTAATCAAACAAAATGCCGCATAAAAAGTCTCGAAATTCAAAGTACTTCCGAAGGGACACGGAAAAAACAGAATTTTCCCAAAATGGTTTTAATTTTTTTCTGACTTTAATTTTAGTGGGATTTCAAAATAAATTGCACATTAATTGCCTAGAATTTCAATATGACGTTTCGTCATTTATCCCCCAGCATCAACTTTATTTTTCTTATGGATGCCATCTTAGATTTTTACGCAGGTGAATAGTTTTTAATTCTGATTTCAAAAA